AGCATGGATAAGTATAAAATCGTAAGTGATCTAAAATAAAATAGAAAATAAATACCATAGGGTAAGTAAATGGTACCATTTAAATACGAAAATAAAACTAAAAAATAAAAATTCCGAAATAGATACATTAATATGTTGAATTATTATTTAAATAAGTCAAATTATTGAATTATTGTCAGGGACAATATCTGAAACATGTTGAATTATTGTTATTACGGAAACCGGTATTTAGTCATGGGCAAGTGTTTGTTGCAGTTTCAAGAATAATAAATCACAATGACTTGAAGATTCTTATATACAACGAAGTAAATGCTCACACGAATTATACGAGTGATGTAGTTTATAAATAAGTCTTTCGAAATTTGTAAATCATTTTACTTTTGTACTTTAAAATAATGAAATTTCTATATTCCATTATATACCAATTTATATTCCTAAAAATGATCTTAATTTAGTACCATAACTATGACCCGTGCAACGCACGGGTGTGATACTAGTAATAATAATAATTCTTGATGGGATCTGATTTGAATAAGTCCTGATCTGATCTGATCTGATTGGATCTGATCTGATCTGATCTAATCTGATTTAATTCGATCTGATCTGATCTGGTCTGGTCTGATCTGATATGATCTGATTATAATAAGAATATGAAAAAATAAGAAAAAATAAGTTAAACGGAACGGGGCCTGAGTGCGCTAATAAGGACGACTAAAAAATTCCTCACAACGGTGTACTGATAAAAAACGCATCTATGTGATCCTAGAAGGAGGGATAATGTCCACTTTATTAATTCTCTCTTACACGGGTACACAAAATGTGTTCTCACTAAATTAATTTCCATAGTAATAGACTCAAAGATCACAATCTTGATTGTCTCAATTAAGAATGAAGTTAAGTTAAAGCTTGGTAGTTGAACTGCATCCTAAACCCTGTTATATAATCCCCTCATCACCTCTCTCATTTTTCACCCAAATAAAAACTTGGCTTCTGCCTAAGCTTTTTCAATTCACTGCCTTCATTAAGAATTCAAAACCCCATAGCTGCCAAAAATTCTCATATATAATTGAAGCAATGGAGAAAGCCATTCTACCCTTCACTTTTCTCATTACCCTTCTACCTCTTTTATCAAGTAATTATTTTTTTTTGTAATTAGAGTTCATTTGGGTCTTTCATTTTTTATCAAGTTAGTTAACCATTCATTGATATTTACTTTGTTTATTTGTGCATGCATGCAGATGCCCAAATATTGCCCTCACCAAACCAGCAGTTCATTGGGATAAACTACGGCCGGCAAGGAAGCAACCTCCCTTCAGCATACGAAACCATCGAGACGTTGAAGTCCATGCAAGTGAGCCGAGTCAAGATCTACGACTCCGACCATGAGTTCCTCAAGCTCTTGTCGGGCACGTCCATCCGCGTCACGATCATGGTTCCCGACGACGACATCCCCGGCATCGCGTCCAACCAGTCGGCCGCCAACCGTTGGGTGCACAACAACGTCCTCGCCTTCCTTCCGGGGACGATGATACGGGGCGTCCTCGTCGGGAACGAGATCCTGAGCGACAGCCGCGCCCAGAGCCTGTCGTACCAAGTCGTCCCCGCCATGAGGAACATCAAGAAGTCGTTGAACAACCACAACATTCACAACATCAAGGTCGGGACTCCCGTCGCGATGGACGTTGTGGAGACGTCGTTCCCGCCGTCCTCGGGCCGGTTCAGGGGCGACATCCCGAGGGAGGAGATTCTCCTCCCTCTGTTGAATTTCCTGAACCGGACCAGGTCGTACTTCTTCCTCGACGTCTACCCTTACTTCTCATGGTCCGAGAATCCGCACAACATCAGTCTCGACTTCGCTCTCTTGAGGGAAGGAAACCAGACTGCCGCCGTGGACCCCGCGACCGGTCTGGCCTACGCGAACCTGCTGGATCCAATGCTAGATTCAGTGGCGTTCGCCATGCAGGAATTGGGGTTTAACGACATAAGGATCGCGATCTCCGAGACGGGATGGCCGATGTCGGGCGACCTCGACCAACCCGGGGCAAATCTCTACAACGCCGCGGCGTACAACCGGAACCTCGTGCGCAAGATCATGGCCAATCCACCCGCGGGAACACCGGCTCGTCCCGGCGTACCCATCCCGACCTTCATATTCTCGCTATACAACGAGGATCTGAAGACGGGGCCCGGGACGGAGCGGCATTGGGGAATCCTAGCCGCAGACGGGAAGCCGGTGTACGAGCTGAACCTGAACGGAACCGTGCCGGAAAGCGAGTACCCGCCGCTCCCGGAGCCGGCGAACAACGTGCCGTACCAAGGGAATGTGTGGTGCGTGGTTGCAAGCGGCGTCCGGATATTCGACCTGGGACCGGCTGTGGACTTTGCATGCGCTGCCGGGAACGGAACGTGCGACGCATTGGCTCCCGGCGGCGACTGCTACGAGCCGGTCTCAGTTGTGTCCCATGCAAACTATGCGTTTAGCTCATTTTGGGCGAGGTTTAGGAGCCATGGAGCTAATTGCCACTTCAACGGCCTTGCAACCATGACCACAGTCGATCCAAGTAAGTCGATACTACTTTTGAGTCGATCCAAAAAAGAATTAATAGAAAATTAATGCACGAATAATTAAGTACTCCAATTTAGTACTCCGTATGAAATTGATATGTTAATTACTGATGAACAGGCCATGGAGCATGCAAAGTCCCAAGTGTGTGCGTTTAGAGAAGGATGGGAGGCTAAGCCCGAGCTGATGATGGATCGGTCATTTACTTTGCCGGAATAATCATTTTCTGCACTTATATATTTATATATTTACCATTAATTAATTATATTAATGGTTTTAATTAAGCATTTAATTAATTCTCCTGTATTTATTTCATATATTGTTAGTTCCTTGTATGGATGTTACATATATATGAGATTGAATGATAATATCAATAACAATGTCACTATTGTACGCAGTCTTATCTTTGATAATATCAATAACAATGTCACTATTGTACGTAGTCTTATCTTTGATGATCGACTTCATTCATCATACATCCACTTTATCTATTTTTAAATTTTTGGATCAAAATTGGTAAATTTTGACCATAAACTAAATAAAAATGATGTTACATATTGATATAAAAATAGTTTTAGTGATTTATTATATCAAATATTTTCATAATATTATTTTATCTAATTAATATACAATATATATTTTATTTAATTATAGATCCAAGTATCGAAACAATTGACCTAAAAAAAATTAAAACTGGACAAATATTGAGAGACGAAGGTCGTACGAATAAAAAGATTTGAGTACACCATTTAGAGGATTTTCATTAGTAAAATATATGCAACATTAAATAATGTGAGATGACTTAATCCTACAAGCTCTTATATGATTGGTTTTGATATGATGAGATCTGGTTTGATTTAGTTTGATGAAAATAGATCTTATTTGATGTGATTAGATTTGGTATGGTCTTATCTGATATGATAAGTTCTGATTTGATATTGTTGGATCTTATCTGATTTTAATAAGAATAAATAATAAGATGAAAAAAATTGAACGAATTGGGCCCTTACACGCCATTGTCGCCGTTGCTCTAAGTTACGGAGTAAAAACTATTGCCCAACCCAGCCACCGCTAGACGCAATACGAAGTACTCCCTCCGTTTATAAAAAATTTTTCCATTTGACTTCTCATGGATTTGAATGCAACATTTTAACCATTAATATCTTTATTTATATATAGATATATATTATAAAAACATAATATTTCAAAATTATATTCTAAAATGAATTTATTGTTATTAAATTTATACAATAATTTAATGTATTTTTTCCACAATTTATTTTCAAAGTTTAAAAATTTGGGTAATTTACCTAAATAGGACTAAAACATAATGACTTTCTCAATATAGGACCATATGTTTTTATTTCCCAATGTAGGACAATTGGTCATTATCTATTAGTCATTATTCAAGTAAATGTCCAACATCACTTAGACATTATTCTTCTCACTAGTCATTATTAAGTCCTATTTAGGGAATAAAAAAGTTTAAGTCCTATATTAAGAAAATGACTTATGTTTTAGTTCTATTTAGTGCAAATTTTACTAAAAATTTAGCACCCTTCAACTAATTTATAATTTAGCACCCTTCAAGTAATTATAATTGTGATACTTCTTCTCACTCATCCGTTGTTACGTTACTCCGTATACTAATATATATTCTCTCTATTTCTATCATCGCCCTTCGATCATTAGTTCATTACTACTCTTCCCAAATCCTTCATTTATTTATTTCCTCTCAATCCTTGTGTGCATGCATATATGATCAACAAATATAAAGATGGTGACAACGTTATTGAACGTTAAACCCGCGGCACTTTTTGTTCTCAACAACAATACCAAAAACCGCGCCCCCTTTCCCGGTCTCGCCGCTCGCCGCCGGAGCTTCGTCGGAATCAACTCGCACCGGAACTCATGGGGCTCGAGGCCTCGTCGCCAATTCCAAGTTTTCTGCGACTCAAAGGTGATTTTCTTTTATTTGCTCCATTAATTTGAAGAATAGTAGAAAAAGAAAACTCGAAAAAAAACGGGTTTGAGATAGAAATCGGAAAAAATATACTCACCCGTCTCTGGGAGTTCTCACCCACACGAAAATAAATAAAAACAATTCTATCATACAAGTCTAGTCTTCTATCGCTCAGTTCTTCTTATAGTCTGTCTCATTGGTTTTAGTAAGGATTTATATATACTTACCTCACAAAACCAATGTTCTGAAAATCAGACCGGACGTCGATGCGAACGAATTCTTTGGGTCAAGGGTTAATCGATCTACCAGGGGTCAACGATCTTGTCAATTATAATTAAAGTAATACTCCCTCCGTCCCATGAAACCTTTCTCCTTTCTTTTTTTATCCGTCCCACAAAACACTTCTCATTTCTATTAAAAAGTCACTTTTACCCCTTACTTTTTCATACCCGAACTATCACATCATACCTTTTTACTAATAATCTATCCACCAAATCATACTTTTACCCATCACATCAAAGGATATTTTTGGAAATTCAATACCAAAATACACTCCCCTTAAATCCCTCCTAAAAAGCAAAAGTCCCATGTTTCATGGGACGGAGGGAGTAATATTTTATATTATATTATTAGAATTTTCTAATTAATAAGAAATCTTAATTTGTATTTGTTTAGTCTTCCATCTAGTTTATAGTATCATTTTGCATTTAATGTCACACTTTCTTTTTCCATTTGTATTATTTTGTTTATTAATGTTAAAGATAAATAATGAATATCAAATAAAGAATAGGTAACGTATTCTTATATAATACTCCGTAATCCATATGTAAGACTTCAGACATATATTAAGTTGATTGAAATGAGAAAAAGTAGAAGTAAAAATTAATTTTAAAATATTAATGTATAATTAATAAATATTTCTTAATTTTTATTGATGACAGTAACATTTTAGGTATGAGTATTCATATTAATTTTTGAATGAAACATAAAAAAATTACATTTATTTATTGAACTATTTTTATAAGTTTATAAAAGAAGTATACTAGTTACTAGTGTTTCCTAAAAAAGATACTAGTTTTTTTTCAAAATAATTAAAAGTTTTATTGAAATCAATAGAGCACACACACACACACACACACACATATATGTATATATAGACACACACACACACACACACACACACACACACACATATATATATATATATGGATTGACTCAAGTTAGATGACATGTTTCGGTCAGATGACAACGAATGCTTATTCTGAATCAATGTAGTGCTCATTCTTAAACAACGTTGGATTCATTCTCACACAACTGTTCATCACAATTTAGTGTTCATTCATAGCCAGCGAGACGACAATATAGGGTTCATTTTGAATCCACGTAGTGTTCATTCTAAGACATCATAGGGTTGACTTTCACACATTTGTTCATTATAAACGTAGTACTCATTCTGAAACAAATTAGTACTCATTCACAGTCTGCTCAGTGTAGTGTTCATTCTGAAATAACGCGGTGCTCATTCTCAAACAAGGTGGTGCTCATTCTGAAGCATGTCATCTGACCGAAAGTGTCATCTAACCGAAAGATGTTATTTGACTGGAGTCAATCCCATATATATATATATATATATATATATATATAAAATTATTATTATTATGTTAGTTTTTGTATATTAATAAACTTCTATTGCTGATTCTTGTATACTCTCATGTATTATATATATATATATATATATATATATATATATATATATATATATATATATATATATATATATATATATATATATGGGCCGGTTCCTGTGAGAATGCACCTTGTGGAGAGAAATGAGAATGAAATCTAGCCGTTGGATCTGATGCATCGTGCGGCTCAGATTGCATCCTGCGCTCAGATTTTGAGATAGTGCATTTTCAAAGGATTATGATGCATTTCGACGTGATGCATTTTCAAACCATTTTGTTGCACCTAATTTTGATGCAATCCTGACCCTTAGATTGCACAATCTAAAGCACCAGATTCATTCTTATTTTTCTCTTAAGATCGCATTCTCACCAGAACCTATATATATATATATATATATATATATATATATATATATATATATATATATATATATATTGCATTTGTAAATTTGGGACAGAGGTAAAATAAACCTTTAACCTTTAAAAGACTATTCTCAACATGGCAATCAGGCATCACCTCTTGTAACAAACATAACCAAATATTCGTTGAAGTTTAAAACACAAGTTTGGAATGATATTTGTATCTATTTCATGTTAGGCCTCATGCATTTCTTATGACGATAAATTAGTTCGATTTTGTTTTTGAGACTACACATTTCGTTGTAATAATTGTACTCTAGTGTATTTTCCTAGAATTTAAATTCTTTTTAAACTTTATACTGCAATTATTTAGATTCTAGAGATTCAAGTTACCACTCTATTTTTTACACTCGAGTCTCCAAATTTTAATTAAATATTACATCTAGATTGGATACTCAAGTTAAAGTTCAGACGTAAAGAAACAAGTCCTTAGTATAAATATAAAAAAATATCTTATTCTATAGGGAACAACCAACAAAAATAGAAAGGGAAAAGGACAAATGTATGAATATAACATTGAAAATATTTTAAAATAGGACTTTCTTGTTTTTATTCTCGAAATAAGAGTTAAAATGCATTTACGAATACTCAAGCTTTACTTCTTACCTGAGTAAATTTGTCCCACATATAATGTGACACAACAAAGTGATATCACATAATCTTTAGTAATATGATGACAAACAAGATATTATAGATTTATCTTAAAACAACATGGCTAGACACAATAACTTCTAGCACCTATTTGTTTATCAAAAAATGATGCCAACATGAGTTTAAGTACAAGAACTGAGCTGACCACCACAAAAGGAGGACAAAACACAAAGCTAACAATTTATCCAATACTTTTCTATTTTCATTAAATAAATGTATCTGATTATTCTCAAATCTCACATGGTCAATCATTATCGTCTTAGTTGAAAGAAGTTGTTTAATGATATTATGTTATGAGCAAATGTGTCTAGCATTATAATTTTACATGTACTTTGCGCATCCAATAATTGACTTGCCATTACAATAGATACCCATAGGTACGATTAGCTAGCTAGTTTGTGCCATTTTGGAATAGTACCCCCCATAAAATGGTGTAGCTATTAAGCTCCCTCTTTATATCTCTCTTGAATTATGGACTTAGATTTCATAGTAGAACTAGAGATCACCTGTTTTAAGGATTTCTAAGCACAACTATTTCTGCTTCATGGATTTTGACCCCTTCATATTAAAATATCTGTTTCGCATAATGTTTTTTCTAATATATGTGTGTATCACATGTGGCATGTACATTCTGTTATTGTTAGTATATATCAAGTATCTCATCATTAATACTGCACCTTTCTAGTGCCTAGTACTTAGATTACCTTTGTATTTACCTACTTTATTGATATCACATGCAAAAGGTCTATCAGTCTTCTGATAACTCTTGCATACTTTGTTTGAGAGTCACTTTAACCCTTGTTTTGACTAGGTGAATACTTCACTTACTTCCACATCTTCATTGTTTCAACCATTGAAAATGAGTTGCAGTGCCTTATCTTGGTTGACCATGAAACACAATGCATCACTTAAACCATCCAGAATGTATTTTTGGCATATGAAATCAAAATCATTCCAAGCCTCTCTTTGTGCCTGACTCGAGGGAACCACATATGCATGCCTTAGTGTTTTATCTCGATACCTACAAGTCACTTTTCATCTTGGCTTAAACCTAACTTGGCCAACCGTCATAGACTTTGTGCTTTATACAAATACCAATTGAGACAACATTATCAAAACACTAGGTGTTCCACTTCCATCTCTTTATCTTTTTTGATGGATAATCTCTTGTCTTGATCCAGGTGAATATTACCCTTTCCTTTTTGGATGTTGAGACAAATTTCACGGTGTTACCAATGATGTGTGTGAATCCAATCAACTTCCAAAACTCCTCCTTAAACATTAGATGACTATCTTTTACATAAGACATATTTAGTCTGTAATGACAATGTTAGTGTTGTCACTCTCTCTAGTAACACCGATACACATCTATACTTCTAACACATTGAATAATATATTCACTTTTTTAGGAAGTGTGTGGTTCTCAGGCATGTTTGAGTGTTTGTGATATGTCGGGTTTGGGTTAGTACTTTTTATTCAATTTTAGGCATTTTTATATTTCTAGAGTTTAATTTTTAGTTCTTTAGCTTAGTTTTTATTTAATTTTCATTTTTACATTCTTTTTATTTTCTTTCATAAATTGTACTCCCTATGTCTGGATTTCAAGTTCCCGCTCTACGCTTTTCTCCGTCCGGAAATAAAGTTCCCATTATACGTTTTCTAACCCACTTTTCCTAAACTACCCCTCTCATTAATACACCCTTCTCGCCCAATCCTCCTACCCGCATTCATTACACCCTCATGTCCTTCTTTTCGCACCTCTTCTCCTTCCCATATCCAATCCGCCCAATTCTTTCTCCCTCTTCTCCTAGAACCCTAGATCTCTGCCCACATCTAATGGATCCGCATGATTATTTCTTGGATTCTATCATTCCGGAGACAGAATTTCAAGATGGTTGGGGTGAGGTCGAAGATTTAATCTCTGATGACAGCGAGGTGGAGGAGGTTATCGTAATCCATAGCGATGACGAGGTCATCGTCATCGATAGTGAAGATGATGGTGCCGATCTTGCCCCGATCAGAGAAAAGCAGTGTTTTATCAACATTGAATCTCAAGAAGATTGTATTTTTGTTGATGGAAGGCAAAAGGGTGAAGAGCACATATTCAAGAAAAAAACATGCTAAATAAGGAAATGGGAGGGAGCTTTTATAGGACTGCAAGAGGAAATGTTGTTTTAAAATTTTTGGGAATGTTTGGGCGGGTAGTTTTGTAAAAATAAGAGGGAATTGGAATGTTTTTTTGGATGATTTGGTAATATAATGATGATATGATGTAATCAAAACCCATACTTGCCTACTTTTTGGAACCAGTAATAGTACTCCGTATTGTTCACTTCTTTATGCTGCATGTGGTGTTCTTTTCCTTCTTTTTTTAGTAAGGGCATTCTTGTCATTTTATAGCCTTAGTCAACTTCCTCTAAAAATGAGCAAAAGTCAAACTGAGAACTTGAAATCCAGACGGAAGGAGAAGTTTTTAATCATTTTTTAAACATTCTATTATTTTTATTTATTTATTTATTTTTCCTAACCCAAATTATTAGATATATATATCTTACTTTTTGATGAAAAATTTTAGCAAAAAATCATAGCGGAGTTCAAGTTTGAAAGAGGAGTATGAGTTTGAGAATAAGCCCAAACTCATTATCATGACCCAAAAAAGTCACTATGTATGTGTCTTAACTCTTATTTAGAGAATGGCCTCTCTCCTCACCAAAGTCACCTCGGCCAGCAGCAGCCCACAAGTATAGTTTACAGTAACCCATCTATTTGCAGCAGCGAAACACACAGATTGCGCAGACCTTGGCTAGAAGCTCTAAATCAGCGAAGGGTTTGGAAGTGGACAAATTCAACGTCCAACGTTTTCAAAGCAGTGATCGATTCAAAATCGATGAGTAACCGAACAGCGACTTCAATTCCTCAAATCAAATGCACTAAAGTTCGGCCATACACTCCGCCTCTGACCAAGTAAGCAACGGTCTCTTCTACGCTACTCTCTCAAATCAACGGGAAGATCCTCTGGTCTATAAATTAAGGACAGAATTGCAGCAGAAAGGGGGGAAATCACATGGGGGAATTGTACCGAAATAACAGAGCAGCGGCTCTTGCCGCTGCTATTGACGCAACCCACCGGCGGAGATGCAGACGGCGGCCAACGACGGCTCGCTGGCGTTCTACGATGGCAGGTTGCGGGCAGCGGTAGGGACCTACTCCAGCTCCAATTTTCTTGAAGTTCTTCATCTTCTTCATATTGGTAACCTTATATTTGTCAATTTCTTTTTCTTCTCCAATTTCTTTGTAAAAGTGTTGTTTCAATTCAATTTACACTTTTTTCCCCTTGTTTGTGTTAATTTCGAAAATTCCAAAATGGTTGGTGTTCTTTTATGGTTTTTTATGTTATATTAAATCCCTTATGAATGAAAATTGATTCTTACTAGTTTCTTCAATTTTTGCGCAAATTGGTGTTAAATTGGTTGAATTATAAATTTGAATTCATAAGTAGGTTGGTATGTCGAATTTGGCTATGAAGCTAACTTAGCTCCATATTTTAGTTAAATGATTCTCGAATTCATACGTGAATCTTTTTTGTGACTTGTGTTTTGTAAAATTTTAAGGTAAATGAACTTCTTAGCCCCATAAGATGATTCATTTTCCTTAAGATTTGTTATAGAGTGATTGTTTATGTCTTGGTGTTCTTGTTTGTTATTTTCATAAAAATTGGGATTGTTTAAGTGCAATAAACAACTTTTGATTTAATGAAAATATGCAATGTTTTCTTATGTGAATAGATTACAATTCTTATGCTTGAGTTGTTCAAGGAGACTTGCAAAATATTTTCATCATTATACGTTAAAGTTTATTAAAGTGTATCAAATGTTCTTCATGAATAATTTGTGCATGCATGGGAGTTAGAAAGAAAGAAAGATTCGCTCTTTTATAAACTTTTTCATCTTTTGAGGTGAGTGGGGGTTCAAAGTGATCCAAAAGGCCTTTGAATTCTTGACTCCAGGCCTTATAGAGAGTTGACGATCCTCTATATCTGGTCAAGGATATGAATCAACTCGAGCCTTTGAATTCTTTTCTATTTTTAAGTGCGTAAGTTACGTAATATATTGTCTAAGTGCCTATTATACGTGTAATGTTCAATTTGTGTTTGTTCTCTTTTTCATTTTGTTTTGGGTTCTTGGCGGTGTTTCTTGGGTTTCCTTAGTTGGAGAAGTTGATTATCTTTCGAGCTTGTTTCCCCCATTTTTATTAAAAAAAACAAAAAATTAAGAAAATATAAAAAACCAAAAAAATATTTACTTTTTATCCAACAACCCCCCCTCCTTTGTGTTTTAAGTTATAATACAAGTTTTATTTACTAAGTGTTTTTATAAGTTATAGATAAAAGTTTTTATACTTTTATATACTTAAGTATGTGTTTTATGTTTATAAGTTATATTTATAAGTATTTATATTTATTTAGTTAAAAGTTTTATAAGTTCTTATCATATGTGTAGTAGTTAGTTTGTTTTATTTAGTGACAACGTATTTGCATACTAAATTGGTTTTAAAAAGTACAACATTTCTCCATTGGACCGACCCTTACTTGCCCTAGCTATAGTTTTTATTTGATTATATTTTTGGGGGTTAGCTAAGGTTATTTATAAATTTTTAATTTGTTTTGGACCGTGCGATAGTTCTTCAACAGTTTGTTCCTTTCATTTATTAGCACACTAATATTTTTAATCAAAATTTCATTGTGTTGAATATTTAAGGTTGTTCGAACTAGGCTATGCATCAATACTGTTTTGACTATGGGGGTGAATTAGATTATATATTAGGATGGTTATACATTTAGTACAAGTATATTTGATTGTATGTATTTCCTTGATTCTTGTTAGGACACATTTGTTAGTTTCCTTATGTGCACATAACTTTTTAGCATCATATCATGTGTAATACAAGCTCACCCACACATGTTGAGTTCGTACTTGCATATTTTACTAATGCTTTGAACCCTTCTTTTAAAACTTGATAAATACTGCTTATTTGTTTGAGTTGTCTCAACTCATAAAATCATGCACGTGTGATCTATGTAATATCATGAAAGAGTGTTTCTTATGTTATTGTTGTTTGCTTTAAGAAAAATCAGTTTACTCACATTTCAAATATATTCATTAATCTTTTTCTAAGATGCAGGAAATGAAGGGCAGAAAGTTCTCACCTATTCTAGAGAACATGTTTTTGTCTGAGAATGAATTACAGCAGTCAACAGAATGGAAAGTGGTTCCTGATATTTGGAAGACGGCATCAGAAAAGTTTGGCAATCAAGTAGCACTAGTAGACCATTACCATAATCCCGCAACAAGTCTAAGCTATAAGCAGGCAAGCTTCTTTTTATAAATCTTTCTACTTGATTATCATTGTTAGAGTATAGTCAGTTTATTACTCCATGTGCACCCGAAAGCATCTAACATAAGCACTTTGGTTGATGTAAGTAAATATAAGATAAGAACTTAGTTCTTGGAATCAAACTGGCCAAAGAACTTATTCATTGGTCAGACTAATAGCTTGAACTATCATACTAGTGGTTCAAGTTCATAAAATGCTACACATACATATCTATGTGATCGTGCATGCGCACGCTCACACACGCGTGCACGCACACATATAAACACACACACACACAAACACACATAGATACATACATACATAGACACATACATACATACATACATATACATATGTATATACATCCCAAGTGATGTAACTTTGTGACATAATTTAAATTGAGGCACTTACGATGCCCCGATTGTAAAATTGATTGTTCTTACCTTCTAACCCCCTTGTAAACCCCCATACCTGTCCCGTCCCTAACGCACTCCCGCACTCCTCCAATTGCAACAACCAAATTTTGAGTTAAAAAATTAACCATAAACTCAACTAAAAGTTTAGAGGGTGCAATTGGAGGTGATGCAAGGGTGCGTTAGAGACGAACTAGGTATGGTGGGTTTATCGGGTGTTGGGGTAGGAACAACCAATTTTAGGATTAGAGCACCATAAGTGTCCCAATTGAAATGGTGTCACGAAGTAACACCAGTCGGGATGCTATAACTTTACAATCCCTCTAGTCTAAAAAATTTATACTGTGTATATCATAGTTTTGAAACTGCCACCCTAGTATCAAACAATAACAGAAAATGGCCACATACGTTCTCTTTGTCTGAACTAGCTTATTGAATCTGATCTAAAATTTTTAAGGTAGAACTTATTTGATCTATCTAATATTTTGGTTATAGTGTAATATAAAGATTTTTTAATATGAGTTGAATAAATCTAATTTTGAAAAGTAGAAAAAATAAAGTAGAGAATGAGGACTATAAAAGAATCCTAATGGTGTTAAATGTGGACTTCCAACAACAACTACTTAGTTGGATCTCATGAGAGTTGGGTCTGCGAGGACGTGTGTACGCAGACTTTGCCCCTATTTGAAAGTAGAGAGTCTTTCCAAGAGTCTTCCAACTCAAAGCATAGATAAAAATAAGATCATTGAGGCCATATAATAAAGATAGAAAAAGGAACACAAAGTCAAAGATCAAACTAATAAAACTAGGCAAAAACACAGCTAGAGAGAACATCAAGCATACAAAGCATACAAACACAACGAGAGGAAAAACTACCACTTTGCCTAAAGCACTTAATTGACTACCTTAAACAAGCTCTCCAAACGCTCCTATCTTAGATAATATCCTCAATACTCTGATAAACTTTTGGTCATCCAAAACTTATGGTCATAAACAAGTTTGAGCATCTCCAATAGATTTATGGTGCTTTTTTAGTGGAACATAACCTTCGGAGACCCAATATTTATCACTGTGACAGTGTAAGCAAGTTCCCCCAAAAAAATCTTACTTTTTAACTCTCCCGGACCTATTGAGGTCTCGATTGAAACACTTAAGAACTTGAACCTCGTACGTGGTGGTGAACTTGCATTTCTTTGTATTATAGGCAGACCTTCTGAGCGACATTTTGAGTGATATAAAACTTTATATGAATAATATAATAATAGAAAATTTATATTATATTATTGTACTGTGAATAATATGTTATATTATTTTTACAATATAACTATCTAAATTACATGAATTTAAATATGTATAAAGAATTAAAGATATAAACATAATCAAGTATATGAGAAATTGAGAAGTGAAGAATTCGGAGATTGGAGTATATGAGAAATTCAGAATTGTGTAAATTTTTAAAAATAATAATCCGTAACAAATATTTATAGGAAAAAATTGATCCCAACTACTTCCATCCCACCCACCCCATTCCAACAGCTAAGGCTCTGTTCCGTACGCCTGATCTGATTGAATCTGATCTGAATTTTTGAAGTTCTGATCTGATCTGATTGAGTCTGATCTGATCTGATTGAATCTGATCTGATCTGATTAGATCTAAATAGTCCTATGGAACGGACCCTAAATAGTCGTTGCATGTGGTGACAACTTGTGGTCCCCTCCCCTCGCTTGTCGGTGACGGTGCCAGCGCTCTGAGCTGAAACATGCACCTTGTCCACCCCTCTTCGAGTATTAAAATATAACTTGATGCTTGGGAAACCATTATACGAGTAGAAATAAAGCAATGTAACTCATGATGAAGATCGAGAAACCATATAATCTTTACAAGGATGGGTGAAAGATACGCGAAGACTGGAAAATAATCCTGTGAGGATAAAATTGGTTTAATTGAAGATTTAAGGAAGCTTTATGCCTTTATAACCTTTGCATCCGAAATAAAGAGTATTGAGACAACATTTTTTTGTATTCACAAAGGATCTTTCTTCGTTAAAGTGTTTTCTACTATATATTCTTCATCTGTAACTATAGTCATTGTTACAACCATATTGGTTAGGATGCCTCATTACTGCACAAGTCTTAATACTGTTATATTTTGGAAACTGCAGCTTGAGGTGGAAATTTTAAGCTTTGCTGAAGGCCTTAGAGATATTGGCTTAAAACCAGATGAAAAGATTGCCCTGTTTGCTGAAAACTCATGTCGATGGCTAGTTGCGGATCAAGGCATTTCTCTTTTATTCTCTACTTACCAAGTATTGATTCAAATTTTCAAAAAGCAGATGCTTCTTGTATTACTCGCCTTTGAAAAAGCAAATGCCCAATGCATTAAGGGTCAAATGGTAACAATCTTTGTTTTTCACCCCAAGACCCAACAAAGTTGGGATTTTAATGAAATTGTTGTTGTTTTTGTTGTTCTTGTGACCTACTTCGTATTATTTACAAGTTTGGAAGCTTAACCATAGTGGAAGGCCATGCATGAAGTAATGTGATTCTTTTGGCAATGCAATTCTATCAGTATTTTTCAGTGTTTTAACTATAAATAGTATCTCATGCAAGAAAGTTCTTAAATAGTTAGGGTGTTATATCACACATTTCAAAATTAACCCTCCATATCTAGTTGCACGAGTTTCTGTGAAAAATTTGTCATCATCATGTTAGTGCTTGCTTTTAAACCTATTGCACATTTGCACTTCTCCGCCATACTACTTTTGTCCCTTTTTCATTATGACATGCCCGATTTTATCACCAAAATTTTCCAATAGTTTGTAGTAATGTTACTTTTATGTCAAGTTTAGATTTGAATATACTAAATCACTAAAGCTACTAAAAATAATCTTTTGATCACATTATGTGCATTTTAACTCATAATATCTATTTCAACACAATGCATTATGTGTTGTTTTACTCATAAAATCTGTTTAATTGAATCCTTTAGGGATTTTGACCACTGGAGCAATCAATGTTGTGAGGGGTTCAAGGTCTTCAAGTGACGAGCTTTTGAAAATATACACTCATTCAGATAGGTTAGTTAATTTGTTCTTCAAGATGGGTGCTCGTGCAAGCTGTTTATTTCTATATTTTTTATTCAATCCTCATATTTTTATGGAGTATATGATAAAATTATTTGCCTCATAATGATGTTACATTGTTTTTAAATGATAAAGTTTTTGGTTGTATCTCTAGTATCATTATTTACCAATTACCACATAGATGGTATTCAACATGTTTATAGTCTCCATATTTTTACCCCATTTCTTGTTCATATCATTCATCCAAAGGGCAAGAGTTGCTAGCATATTGATGCATTAGGTTTTATTTATATGAAAGAATGTTATTTCAAATTCTTATGGAGCAGTATGGGAAGATATATGGGCATTTTCTTTGAGTAAAGTTGTCTACATCACCTCTCACCTGATTCATGACCTTAGGGATTTGGTCATCTCTTTCTAATGTTAAAAACAAAATTTACCTTGATGAACCACTAGGAAAAATCACATCCTTAGCTCTAAAATATTTCTAACTCGTTTCAAATTCTTCCTCCATTCTCTGCATCTCAATCTGCTTAAATTCATTCACTTTTTTTACCAATTGCGATACCTTGATTTTTAATTTGAACTAAATGATCGGTACCTCTAAAGTAACATCTCAATCGAGTTTCCACTAGTTGTCTTGATACTCTAACTCATGGAAACCAAAGAAAATATATCCTCACACGTGTTTGTAGTAACCTCAAACATTAGTTCCATCATGAGTGCTATTCTGGTATAATGACAATTGAAAAGATTTTGAAAACCCAAACCACTTGCTCAATCTATTCCCAATTTTTACTCTGACTTCCCTTTTAAAATCAATGACTCTCGAAGGTTATTACAACTTCTAATTAATAGGTCTCTTTTAATTAATCAACCTCCTTTTTGTGCATTTATAAATGTGTAGTCTAATAGATGTTTGCCGTAAAGATTCTCTCACCTTGAATCTCAATTCAGTCCATCACAAATTCACAATACTAAATGAGGCTTTTGATTTTGTTCATACAAGACAGGGAAATGGGTTTTAGATTGTAGATAGTTGAGCAAGGTTTTAGTTTTGCTGATTGTAATTCCAAGTATATGTTGCTGAAAATGGACAATTTGATCAAATCATTATGTTGTTAGGTTTTAGAGTAAACTATCGCAATGCTCTCATTTTGAGTGCTTGTGGGCTTATAATTGCTACCCCATATTTATATATGTATCTTAAATTGTTACAAGTTGATATCTCCCTTTTATCTTTTTCTTTTGCACCAAAAGTGAACATTTTACATGCCATAATTTTTGTCACTATATTAACAGTGTCGCACTTGTTGTTGACAATCCTGAAATGTACAACCGAATTGCAAAAACGTTCCACTCTCCCGCAGATGTGAGATTTGTTGTCTTACTTTGGGGTGAAAAATCAAGTATCACAAGTGAAGTAGTAGATGGATTGCCCATATATAGTTATATGGAGATCATAGATTTGGGGAATGATAGTCGTATGGCATTTCTTCACTCCCATGAAGCGAGTAAGTGATTTTACATACGGAAGTGGTTTATAAAGTTGTATATTGTTATTTGTTTTTATAAATAACAATATGCAACTTTATAAACCAACTTAAATATATTGCTGAGCTATTTATTATCTGCAACGATAACCTTCATATTTCTACTTTTGCTAACAATAATACTATCCACATTATCTCATTCCTCATTCTTTATGTGTCTACTATACTATTGCTATTGTCTTCTATTAGTTGCTACTTAATCTTTATGTTCCTAATAAGAGATTGCTCTTTGTCCAATCAAGATTCCTTGATGAGAATGAAAGATCACTGAATAACTCATGCAATTGTAGGGGATCAATATCTATATGAACCTATCAAATCTGATGATGTAGCTACCCTTGTTTATACTAGTGGGACTACAGGAAATCCAAAAAGTGTTATGCTTACTCATAAGAATCTGCTTCACCAGGTTTCTTCCTTTTCATTTTCCCCTTTCGTATTGTAGCAAGCAAAATAACAATAATTTTTTTAAAATGCATAATTTTAGAAGTTAATTTTAACAATTTGCTCGAAATATATTCACATTTTAGTGAGTGTACACATATTCCTAAACCGTCGAGTGCTCATATGAAAAGCATAAGAGCAAGAGCAACACATTGCATAGAGGATATGGTGTGTTATTGGTATTGTTGATCTTAGATCGATTATTGTACATGTGCATAGGGATAAAGCATTCAAATTCATATTTTATTGAGGTTGCAGCTTTATATTTATATAATGAGAGGATAATGTGTTTGAGTGGTGCGCTGAAGAGAACTTCTGTTATTGTGTTGATCCACTTTGTTGTTGTTGCTACCTTTTGGTCAATGTTACAAGTTGTATTTATTTAAATGCGATATGTTCTTCGGAATTTGATCTTTTTGACCATCTATCTTGTTTTGCTTTTTGTGTTTAATATTCCATGTTTAGGTAATAAAACACTTGCGTATAACTGAAAAACTATCTTAACTTATCAAAGTCTTGTGGATTTTTTCATGAAAATTGGAATGATCAATGATGATCACAAATTGGAAATGTTGGAATTTCATTTCATTTTACTTATTGAGAAGTCCCCGCACGAAGATTATCATTAGTAAAATAGCCTCTATACTTTTGTATATGAATTCAGCATACCTACTATTAATTAGGGGTAGGGTTTGTGTGCATGCACACACCTCCCTATTATCATTTGGGTTGTTGTTTGTACTTCTGTGGATGCAAGCATAGTGTTGAACATAATAAATTCACACTTGTGTGTGTTTTAGGATATGTTTACTTCGCATTTGCAACATGCAAAATTGTTGTTTAGTTCATGCATGATGAGTAAGCTTCCTAAGCTCTAGTAGTAGTGTGTGGGAAACTACTTATTTTGCAAATTCACTTTCTCAGTCAACACAGTTCTTACCTTGTTTTGAACTTAAGGGATTTAATAGTGTAGCAGGTTAATTTGGTGGAATCAAATATGTGAAAAGGGAATAAATAGAGAATATATATATATATATATATATATATATATATATATATATATATATATAGATTGAATTATATTAATAATGTCCTAATATAGAACATTAAGGTGAATACATTCTCACAAATGAAACACTAACTTATGGTGATGTAAGTAGGTTGGAATTTCATAGCCTTTCGAGGTTTATGGTAACAAATTAAGTAGAGTTTAGAACCCTTCCCTGCCTAAAAAATTAATACTCTCTTTGTCCCATTCTTTAGAAGGGTGCCAATTGCATACATTCGTGCAATTAACGATATGTATGTTGGAGCAAGGACTAGGGTGAAGACTGTTGGGGTGGGGTGACTTTGATCCCTTTAGAGGTTGGGTTACACTAGGTGTCTACCCTTAGCCTTTTCTCATTTGCTTTGGTAATGGATGTCCTTGAGAAGTTCTATGATGTATGCTTTTGGATGACAATATTGTACCGATCAACGACACACGAGAGGGACTCAATGGCAATTTGGAGCTATGGCATCATTCCCTAAGTACTTTGAATTTTTCTTCTGTAGCCAGATGACAAAATCAGAAGTTAAAGTTAGTATTGATTCTCACCCAGTGCCTAAGTGAATTAGGTTTCAATATCTTGGTTCAATCATGTCATGAATATTCAACAAAGTTTTACGTTAGTTATTGAGACCTAGCACAACTCTCCTCTTTTATCTGGCTTGGAGTGGCACCTATTGTAGAAACGATGGTGGAAACACATCTAAGGTGGTTTGGACATGGGAGGAAAGACCAATAGGGTTGTTAAAATGGTGAATATGCATTTGACTAAAGGAAGAGGTAGACCTAAAAGGACTTGGCTAGAAATGATCAAGGGATACTTTTGCATAAATGATCTCACAATAAATATGATACATGATATGGAGCAATGATGTCGTTTGATCCATGTAGCCGACCCCACCAGGTGAGATAAGGGTTTGCTCTTGTTGTATCTTGGCTCAATCATTCAGGCACATGGGGAGATAATGATGTTGCTCATAGTTTAGGAGTCATTTGGGCAAAGTGGAAGCTGATTTCACGAGACTTATGTGACAATAAGATTTCGAAAAGGACAAAAGAGAAGTTCTATCATTCTATAGTTAGACCGGCAATACTTTACAGATCCCGAGTGCGAGGTAGTCATGTTCGTCAATTACATGCAATAGATATGCAAATGCTGCGACGGATGTGTGGGCAAATAAGGTTGGATAAGATCCGGAACGAGGTTATGAAGGGACGGTTATGAGTGGCACTAGTGAATGATAAGTTGCAGGAAGCCAAGTTGATGTGAGATGCTTATGATAGTGAGCGAGGGTTCAAGAAGGGGTAGACGTAAGAAAAATTGGAAGGAAGGGGTAGACGTAAGAAAAATTGGAAGGAGGTGATTAGAGTCATTAGACATGACTTAGGACTTCTAGCCCTAGCTGAGGATATGACTTTAGATAGGAGTGTCTAGAGACCTAAGATTAGAGTAGCCTTTTGGGTCTTAATGGTAGTGTTTTTGTGTGCTTTCTATGTTTGGTGCATGTTTCATTCTTTTCTTCTTTTTTCTTTATTATTTTCTACCATTAGCTTGCTCTATATGCATTTTGTTTTGTTTGAGTTGGGGTATCTTGGAAACAACTTCTCTACTTCTAGTAAGGGCAATGTCTGCGTACACACACCTTCCCCAGACCCTACATTCGTAGGATTATATTAGGTTGTTGTTATTGTTACCACTACATGACAACCATGTCATTTTTCATAGTTTACTTTTTTTTATACTTTCCACACTCATCATGGGTAATCCAGAAACAGCCCTCTATGCTTTAAATCTAGGGTTTAGGCTTCGTATGTGATTACCTATCGCGTTTGAGTCGGGGTCTCTTTGGAAACAGCCTCTCTACTTTCGAGTAGGGGTAAGGTCTGCGTCCCCAGACTTGTGGGATCAAACTAGGTTGTTATTGTTGTTGTTGTCACTAGTTTTATAGAACATTTGATACAATTTTTTAAGTATGTTAAGTTATATTTTCTATCACTAATTTATACATTATAAAACTTGAACCAATCCTCGGTATTACGTCTTTGCACAAGTAGAACACGTAAAATGGGATGGAGGGAGTAGTATTTATAATTGTATAGCACTGTGCTACCGTTTTGGACTTGAGAGATTGAAAGTATGAATGATAACAAAAGAAACTATACATATATTAAATGAATTACTAACTAGTTACTCAATATATGCATTGGGATGGATATGATCTGAAAACAGAGATGCCTTCGGCTTTACATTTGGTTACACTATAAGATTTTTTGTTTCTCACTCTCAATGTACATGTAATGTGACTATGTTCCTTATCTGTAATTTGACTTTGTTCCTTTACTAGATTTTGAATCTGAGGGATCTTGTACCTTTTGTACCTGAGGATATATTCCTGACCATGCTTCCCCCTTGGCATGCATATGAACGAGCTGCTGAATATTTTGCTCTCGCTTTCGGTTGCAAGCTAGTATATACTACGGTAAAAAACATGAAGGTATAATTGTTATATTCACGCTCTTTTGTAGATTTACATATTTTCTAGTGTTATTTGATCTTAAACATAACTATAACTTACAAATCTTAGTCAATTTGCAATTATGATGGTGTTTTAAAATATAAAGAAGCATGATCTTGTCCAGGTTCTGATTCATTTGCCTCATATTCCAGGAGGATTTAAAGCGTTACAAGCCACATTATCTAGTATCAGTTCCCTTGGTATATGAGTCTTTATACAGGTCTGTATCATACTCCCTCCGTCCCCAATTTGATTACAAATTGCGGGTTACGGAGTAAAATTTCCTACTTTTTGAAATTATTTTATTTACAAATTGGTACATCAATACGATATAAAAATTACATATTAAAAAACTACGTCAAAAGTTCTACAAAACAAGAGGTGACAAGAATATTTTATTTTATCAAATACTTAATGAAATCGCGTAAATAAATAAAAGTTATCGAGAGGAGAGAGAAAAAAAATTGTAATCTATTTAGGGACGGAGGGAGTATTATTTTTACTTTATTTTGTTTTTTTGTGCATTTTTATAAGACAATGAATTCACTCTATGATAGTGTTTAAAACAATAAGTTGTGCTAAAAGTTAGACCAAAGGTGGATTTCATTACACTTCTAAACATTGAATTGAATACATGAATAACACTCCTTTCAAACCAAGTTTTTGTCTAATGTGTTATTTGATATGAATTTCTATATTTTTCACAGCATAATGAAAATTAATATTTATATTTCATGTACTTTCAACCTCATTTCAGAAATAACCTCTATGTTCTTATATGGGTAATGTCCCGTACATCTTGACCCCCAAACCCTAAGAGATTATCCCGGATTCATTGTTGTAATTTTTCCACACATCGTGGATGCATTCTTTTCTTTTGTGATATGATGTTTTGCCTTTACTTTTTGTTTAAAAAAATCACTCTTGTAGTGGAGTTTTGAAGCAAATAGATAGAAGTGGAACTGCTCACAAGCTTATTGCCTTATCATTTTTAAAGATCAGTCTAGCATACAAGGAAGCTAGAAGGATATATGAGGTTTATAATCAACCTTTTAGTTCTATCATGTTTCTATTTCTATATTTGATTAAAATCTAAAGAACTTAATATGAATAAGATTTCATATTATTACAAATCTATAGCTACACTCAAATTGTCACACATTCTTTATGTAAATTAATAAAAATGCATTACCCGATATCGGTGTATTTTCAGGGTGAATGCTTAACAAAAAATCGGGAACAACCTTCTTACATTGTTTCACTTTTGGACTGGTTATGGGCAAGAATCTTTGCTTTACTATTGTCACCATTGCATCTGTTGGCACGAAAATTTGTTTACACTAAGATTCACACAAGTATTGGAATTTCGAAGGTATGGTGTAATGTACACATTATTAAGAAACGATGTAGCATCCTACCATTTTATAAACCCCGTTAGTTTGATGAAAAGAGTTTTCCTACTTTCCCCCTATTAGGAGAAGACAATTTTGGCACATGAATTTATTACAAAAAATCATTAGAGGTGTTGTTTAACAAAAACATAGAAGATGTTAACACAATCACTCTTCTATTTTATAGGCTGGATTAAGTGGAGGTGGTAGTCTTTCACCACATATTGACAAGTTCTTTGAGGTTCGCTGTTATATCATTGTGGCTACTACAGTTGAGGGTGTGGTTTGACGTTAGATTCTGATTCAAAATGTGATATCATACAGGCAATTGACCTTAGAATACAAAATGGATATGGTTTAACAGAAACATCCCCTGTTGTTGCTTCTCGGAATCCAAAATGCACTGTAAGTGTTGTAACCTTTTACACGTATGTAGGTCTTCATTTCAATTCATTTTATTTATTACTGATGTAATAAGTAAAAATTGGTATTTGTGTAACTAATTTATTTAAACCACTCTCCTTAAATTATCATTGCACTTTCATTTTTCACCCATCCCAAATTTACCACTCATATCCTTTCAAGGAGGGCAATTTGTGGTTTTCGTTATTTTTCTTTTAATTACATTCCAACTACCTAGTTATGATTTTCTTAAACTCATGTTGGTTTAAACTGGACAATAATAAAAGGATAGATAAACTAGATATTATGTACATATACCTTTTATCTAGTGCATACTGGTTTTTGTAACACTGTTGGAAACAAAATTTCACATGTTTTTGGCTTTGGGGTGTGATGGAATAAATCAAAATGGATATCTAAACTATTTGCACTTCTTTAATTAATGAAGTAGCAGTTAGTCAAGCAATGCAACTTTCGACGTTGAGCCGGGGGTCTCTTTGGAAACAGCCTCTCTACTTTCGAGTAGGGGCAAGGTCTTCATACACACACCCTCCCCAGACCCTACTCTTGTGGGATTTAACTGGGTTGTTGTTGTTGTTGTTGTTGTTGTTGTTGTTGGATCTTGTATATTTGGATACGTTTTTAATGTGTTTTAAAGTTATTGTATACAAATGAAAGTCTATACACTGACAGATAAATATTTTGTTTTTGTAGGTCCTTGGGTCAGTTGGGCTTCCAATTCGGTACACAGAAATAAAAGTAGTAGATGTGGAAACCGATGAGGTTCTCCCTCATGGTTCAAAAGGCATTGTCAAAGTCAAAGGACCTCAGGTGATGAAGGGCTACTACAAGGTTAGTAGTAGTAGTAGCAGCATTGGATAAATGATTGTTTCAGGGTTTATTTTATTGTCACCATTGTTAAGTTATTGGTTCATAGTTCAACCTACAATTTCATTCTAGGCCCTTTGGCTTTATGATTGTTGTTTTCTAAACCAAGTAACCAACATTAAACATTTGCTGAATATTCATGACTGCCTTTCAGTTGTGCATTTAGAACAATTGTTATCTTAATACAATGATCTTGCTACTACTTTATTGATTATGAACATTACTTTAATGTTCAGAATCCAATAGCTACACAACAAGCTATTGATGAGAATGGATGGTTAAATACTGGCGATCTTGGTTGGATTGTTCCTCAGCATTCCGTAGGGCGGTCCCGCAATGCTTCAGGTGTTATTGTCCTCGAAGGTCGTGCCAAGGACACTATAGTCCTTTCATCAGGTAATTATTTGAACTCTTACCCAATGTTTTAACATATTTTAGCCAGTCCATTATACTCCCTTCATCCCCTTTTAATGTTCCCACTTTACTTTTTTGGACCGTCTCTAAATAATGTTTTCATTTCCTTTTATGGAAAAAGATTGTGTGGTTCACAATACTTCTCTTTATCTTATTATTTTGAATCGCACAATTTAAAATGGATAGGTGAAAATGTCGAACCATCCGAGATCGAAGAAGCTGCCATGCATAGCAATCTAATTCAACAGATTGTTGTTATTGGCCAGGTGTGTAATACATGTTTTTATGTACGACTATACATTTATTTCCCCAACGTGTTCTAATTTGTTAAACGCACATTACCTATTCTATCGCATCATATGTTCCTTACATATCTAACACATTTAGGATAAACGCCGCCTTGGAGCTATTGTTGTACCACAAAAGGAGGAGGTCCTTTTGGCAGCAAAAAGATTGTCTTTTGTTGATTCTCGTGCCACTGAAGTTAGCAAAGAGACAACAACTAGTATACTACATAAAGAACTAGGGAAATGGTACCAAATTCTTATTTTTCATTTTTTAGTTCCAATAGTTATAAGGTAAACTGTATGCCACCAAGATAGCATAGTTACCACAAGCACCAGCACACCCGGACATCCATTTTTTTACAATAATACTCCGAGAAAATTTGTAGTTTACATGGACCCCTCAATTTTTCAGGCGCATTTGTAGTATCCAATCTTGGAGTATTCTTGTAAAATAATTGAATGTTATTGGAAGCGTTAGTGATAATTATGCTATCTTGAAGTATTATGAGAATTTTTCCTAGTTAAAATACTTAAACACAGCTAATTGCTCTGGTCTCATGTTTGCCATGACTCAGGACAACGGGTTGCGCATTTCAAATCGGGCCAATCCTCATCGTTGATGAGCCTTTTACGGTGAGCTTACATTTTCTATGGAGCCATTTGTTTCCCAAAATTTCAATTGCTAAGACATTATGCTTTCTGTTTGTGCAGATTGATAATGGCTTGTTGACTCCAACAATGAAAGTTAAGAGGGACAAAGTAGCAGATCTATACAGAGAGCAAATAGACAATCTATATAATTGAGATCTTTCAAAAAACGAAAAATGACTATGATGGTAATTAAGGAATCCAATATAATGTTATTGATGCTCTTATAACATGAACATCAGTTATAAATGTAACAGATTGTAAAGGTAAACTGAATAATTGGAGTCTGTTTTTGTTTAACAGATTCATAATCTCTTGAAGTTGTTGAATCTGCGGTATCCTTGAGTGATTTGAGACGTGTGAATTAAGTTCTCGATTGTAAATTTTGAAAATAAAATATACATACTTGAATTTTGTTATAATATGAATTTAATATACATTAAATTTATTTCAGAATGCAGTTACGAAATATCACTTACATAATATGGAGTACATATTTAAACACAAATATAGTTATTGAAATTTACATTTGTCAAAATAAGAGATGTTTCTAATACTAAGAACGGTATGAGTCTTGTCCAATGAGTCTGAGTAAATGAAAATGCCCCCCCCCCCTCCTCAGGGCAGGAGGTATATTATATATATAGAAGAACGAAAGTTACATACAAATGTCTTGGGTAGTTCGCATCAGTTGTATAGAGCATCTATTTGCTCCTTATATAGAGCTGTTACTTTATCTCTCTTAACTTTCATTGTAGGAGTCAATAAACCATTATCAACCTGTACAGCAACAGGGCATAAATGTCTAAGAAATTAGAATGCCTTCGAAAGGGGAATATGGGGAATGAATGAGCAATGTTGTTTACCGTAAAAGGCTCATTAACGACGAGGAAAGGCCCAATTTGAAATGTGCACCCTGCTGTCCTGCGGCAGTGGGAAAAAAGCCAGCATTTGCATGACAATTAGCTGTGTTGAGAGTATTTCAATGGTTGCAAGTTGGAGACTAAAATATGACAGAATTTGGGTTTTCTTTAAAAGCAGTCAATGGGGATGTTTGTCATTGCTTCTACGAATTGCAAGAATAAAAAAGCTCCAATGCAGAACATCCTTTCAGAAAAAGCTTTAATTTTGAGCTTCTGCGAAAAGCCGTTTGAGGAAGAAAACTGCGGTGGAAATAAGCTAGTATAGGTTTTTTTGGTGCCGCTTTTTGAGAAAGAATAGCGAATACCCCACTATCCTTACCATTTTACTAATTCTTCATGTAGTATGCTAGCTGTTTTCTCCTTACTGACTTCAGTGGCATCAGAATCAACAAAAGACAACTTTTTTGCTGTGGAAAGGACCTCTTCCTTATTTGGTACAACAATAGCTCCAAGACGGCGTCTATCCTATATGTTACATATGCAAAATTATACAGAGAACGATGCAATAGAAAAGGCAATTTATTCATCATGAACAAGTCTAAGTGTTGTAGTAATAAATGCATATACTCCCATTCCAAAAAAGATCATGTTTCCCTTAGTTGTCCTGAAATAAGGCTCTTGTTTCCCTTTAAGGAAAGATTATGCAGTTCATATAAATCGTCTCTAAAAAAACTACTCCCTCGGTCCACAAATTATCTTCACATAATCTACTTCTTTTTATCTATTTTCGTCTATTTTCGTTAATCACCTCTTGTTTTGTAGAATTTTTTATAGAGTTTAAATATGTAGTTTTTTTAAATTCCACACCAATTTTCAAATAAATTGAATTGGAAGTAACTTCAGTCAAACATCATAACAAACAACGGCAAGATAACTTGGGGACGGATGGAATATTAAAAAACACTTTTCTTAATAAGTACCAGACTAGAAAGTCAAACCTAGAACCTTATTTTGGGAAGGAAGCATTTAAAGAATTCAACTAAATACCTGGCCAATTACAACAATCTGTTGAATTAAATTGCTACCCATTGCAGCATCTTCAATCTCAGATGGTTCAATGTTTTCACCTATCCATTGAACATATACATTGGCTGTTAAATAAACTTCAAGGAAACATTTTGTGGCAAGGTCGCAAAGATAGCTTAGGCCTTCAATTAAAAGGAAATGAATAGATGATAGACACCCGAAAGAGGAATGAGAATAATATTTTTCCCCAAAATAAAGTGGATTTTACATGATTTTTAATATAATGTGACTCTAGATACGCATTGCATTATTTGGTATGGGAATCCAATGATATAGAACGTGCTTGTATCGGATTGGATATGGAGAAGAATCATGTGATTCATGGTGCATAGGATGCGATTCGATTCGATTGAGGATTCCATCAAAATGGTAACACTCTTGTTTCAAAATGGCATAAGTGGTTTATATGATAGTATTTTGAACTTTGGCATTCGTGGATGAATTTAATTTTTCCTGCAGTATTTAACTATATCTTCAGTAAAATACAAAAAAGTACTTATTTTCAACTTTAGAAAAATTTCTTCATATTCTAGGTATGAATTTCGGTATCCAGAATTGATATTAATATACGAATTGATTGACAATTAGTTGATCAAATGATTCACAATTTGACAGCTATGGAGTTGGGTGTTTAGCCATCCATGAGAAGCATGCAAAACAGCATTGTTTATGTACCAATTACATGAACAAAAAGCACTGTTAAAGTGTAGGGACTAAGGGATGATCTTGTTATTCAAACCATAACTAGACAAATTTTCACCAATGGAAAGTTTTACACAAAACTAGATACTCATGCAAAATTTATTCATATGAGTAGAGGTATCAGCATGTTTGATGTAGAAATAAGTTTCTTGTTTAGTACTGAAAACAAAAAATGATGTGGTCTTTAAGATGACAGAATGAACAATACCAAGGATTGAGTGAGAGTATAAGAATGACCTGATGAAAGCACTATAGTATCCTTGGCACGACCTTCGAGAATAATAACACCTGAAGCATTGCGGGATCGTCCTACAGAATGATGAGGTACAATCCAACCAAGATCGCCAGTATTTAGCCATCCATTTTCATCAATTGCTTGCTTTGTAGCGATTGGATTCTGAAGCAGAAGCAAATGTTCCATTATTAAGCAACTAAACAAGGTACCAAATAAATATGTGCAGACTATTTAATTTAATGCTGAGTTCTAAAACAATGTGATAAAGCCAGAGTTGAATGAAAATTGTGAAGCAGTGACGGTAGCAACAACGAGAGTACAAGACTAACAGGAGAGGTTTAAAAATCATTAGTCCAACTATTGATTGGTTAGTTAAATAGTTGTAGCAACCTTGTAGTAGCCTTTCATCACTTGCGGTCCCTTGACTTTGACAATGCCTTTGGAACCATGAGGGAGGGCCTCACCGGTTTCAGCATCAACAACTTTTATTTCTGTGTACTGAATGGGATGTCCAATTGAACCAATGACCTGTAAACATTGAATATGTGACTAGCATGACATACACATTTGTTTAGGAAAATGGACACACACGAACATTGAATATGTGACTGGCATGACATACACATTTGTATAGGAAAAGGAACACACACACACACACACACACACACAGAGAGGAGATCCGCTCTACACAGAGGTAAGGTCCCGTAAACCCACTCTCCCCAAACTCCACTTGTATGACTTAAGTCGGTTTTTTGTTTTTAGGATTGCAAGGGAATCAAATAATTTTGATTTGACTAGAATAATTATTTAATATAAATAATACACACACACATATTTTAATAATTGTAGTTTTGAATACATTCCCTCAATTTTAATAAATGTAGTTTTGAAATTTTATATTCATCCAAAAAATCCAAAGTGAGTCTTCAAGTAAAGTAGTCTATTACAAAGTAATTATATTTCTTTGGAAAACAAATACTCCCTCCGTCCCCAATTTGATTACAAATTGCGGGTTACGGAGTAAAATTTCTTACTTTTTGAAATCATTTTATTTACAAATTGGTATATCAATAATATATAAAAATTACATATTAAAAAACTACGTCAAAAGTTTTACAAAACAAGAGGTGACAAGAATATTTTATTTTATCAAATACTTAATGAAATCGCTTAAACAAACAAAAGTTATCGAGAGGAGAGAGAAAAAAATTGTAATCTATTTAGGGATGGAGGGAGTACTAAAAGAAAATTTGATTGCTCAACTAAGAATTAGTAAAATAAACCAACAGATTTTGTTATAATTTACTCCCTCCGTCCCCAATTTGATTACAAATTGCGGGTTACGGAGTAAAATTTCCTACTTTTTGAAATCATTTTATTTACAAATTGGTATATCAATAAGCTGTAAAAATTACATATTAAAAAACTACGTCAAAAGTTCTACAAAACAAGAGGTGACAAGAATATTTTATTTTATCAAATACTTGATGAAATCGCGTAAACAAACAAAAGTTATCGAGAGGAGAGAGAAAAAAAATTGTAATCTATTTAGGGACGGAGGGAGTATAGATTACCAAAAGTGTTCAGTTTCAATGGGCAGACAAACTACACTTACATTACAGTTTGGACGCCGACATGCAACAACAGGAGATGACTCTGTTAAACCATATCCATTTTGTATTGTAATGTCGATTGCCTGTACGTTATCACATTTTGAATATCAGGAGATCACATCAACCTATGCACTAGATGATCAGAAAGATAAAATACCAAACCTCAAAAAATTTGTCAACATGTGAAGAAAGACTACCGCCTCCACTTATTCCAGCCTGAAAAAAAGAGTGATCAATGTTGATCTTTTGATCTACAACATAATTATCTTTTACAGTACAACTCATTCTTAGTAGGCAACTAGCCAACTACAGTGATTAAATGTTTCATGTCGAGTCATAGGTTCATGGACTACAAGAAACTTCTCTCAACAGGGGTGAAGTTCATTGAATATAAATCTTCCTACATGGTGCATGACTCTTTCCAACTATCCCTAGTTCATTGAATATAAATCTTCCTACACGGCGTATGACTCTTCCCTACTATCCTTATATGTTTTTTATACTTGTGTATAGTAACATTATAACAAGAACCCAGTATAATCCCAACTTTGTTGGGGTCTTTGCTTTATGTGTAGGAATTTTTATCTTTAGGATTCAGTACTTGCATGCTAATTGGCATAAATCAGGATAACACATTTCCTTTTACGTCTTTGAATAATGTGTAATATTTTTTAGCTTTATCCTTTTAATTTTTGACTTTGAATAATCTGTTGTAATGTTTCTTTCTTTCTTTATGTTGTACGAGCTCTTGTAGTAGTCCGCTGTTAATAGCCAAGTGAAATTGTTGGAAACAAGTGAATTTGATGGTTGAAAATATGAGTTTTACCTTGGTGTAAAAAGCAGTGAAATAGTGTGATGCTCTTGTATAAAAACCCCTAATTTCTAATCCCCTCACTCTCAACAATTTAGGTTGAGTTCCGTTCAACTTATTTTTTCTGCTTATTACTTATTCTTATTATAATCAGATCAGATCAGACCAAATCAGAAAAAAATCACATCAGATCAGATAGGCGAACGGAATGCAGCCTTATTCACTTTCCTTTTTTATCTGTCCCAAAATAATTTGCCCACTTTTTCTCTTCCCCTTTTTGGAAAAGAACTAGTATTCTAACCTGTGCCACGCACGGGGTCGAATTAAATTTTTGTAGATTCTAAAATTTTTTCAATTCAATATTTTTTCAAAAAAATATATATAATTCTGACATGATTTTTAATACTATAGACAAAAATGCCAAAGAAGACTAAATAATATATGAGGAATTGAATGTGTACTCAACAAAGTTTTTTTAATACCAAATTTTTTGATAACTTTTAGGGTATATAACAATTTTGGTATGGTTGCAATGGCTTCGATTGTCATTTGGAACCAATATTTTTAATCTAGTCTTTATCTTGACTCTTAAAACAGCAAAATAGACCTAACCATCAATGAAGAACAGATTGGTTAAAAATAATCTGTGCTTGTAATTAAAAAAAAATAAGTATGTCTTACTTACTTATTTTTAAACCAATTTTTTCATTTCTCCGTTTTGCCCAATTCATTTACAAAACCATCTCTAACCTTTTATGAATCTCTTCAAATGACTCATCGCTCATTTAAGTCACTTTACAATAAATACTTCAATAAGCAGCTTATAAGTTTAAAACCACATATCAGCAATAAGCCAATAAGCATCCGCACAATGAAGCACCCCCAATAATTCCTCCTCGCTCCATTGATCTTTTAAAACACTTCCATTTTCCTCACCTCCTCACTTTTGAACTACTCCGTAAATGGTAAAAGTAAAGAATTGAAATTTACTTCAAGCTCGGCACATTGAAATAGAAATTAAGACTTCAATATGTATGTGTTATACCATACCTTAGAAATATTAATATTCGAGTGAATTTTACTGTAAACCACTTTCCTCGCCAAGAAATGCAATGGCCACAATAGAGCAGCAATGGCTCTGGCACATAACCAGTCCAAAACTGAAACAAGATTAGGGTGTTTCTGATCTTTTGTTAGGCATTTCCCCTGAAACAAGACATAAAGAAATTGTGAATAATTAACAAAAATTAGTTAGGGCATTGTTATTTATTTACATATGACATATCAGACAGTTTGAGTGAGCTAAGTTTTTGTTAGAATATATATCCTGAATACTTCCAATAAGTATTAATTCAAATATTGAAATTTAAACACATTCGAAAGTGTTGGATCTAAAAAGTTAACCTCATATATCCTTTTGGCCTCCTTGTATGCCAAACTGATCTTTAAAAAAGATAAGGCGATGAGCTTACGAGCGGCGCTGCTTTTATTAATCTGCTTCAGTATTCCACTGCAAAATTAAAAATTTCAAAAATAAAAACAAACAGAACATGACATCGTGAAACAGACTTGATTTGATATAAATTACCTGTACAATGTTTCATATACCAAAGGAACCGATATCAAGTACTGTGGCTGATAACGTTTTAGATCTTCCTGAGATGCAAGTAAACTGAATCAGAACTTTGGCAAGATCTTTTTTAAATTACGGAGTACTAGTTTTTACCCCGTGCTTCGCACGGGCTTGCATACTTTTATATAAATATATCTAACAAAATAAATACTCCGTATTATATTAAAAAATAAAACTTACATTAAATAAATAAGTGAATTACTATTAATGTTGTTCAATCACAATATCTATTTATGGAATACACAAATATTATACACACATGTACATATAAAGGATAATACATTAACTCTTCGTAAATAACTTTGTTAGACATTTCATTTTTGGAGATATCATGTTATGCCACGGAAGGATATATTCATCAATTTCTTCTATGACTCTTATTATTTTACACTTTGACTAATTAAATTTATAATTATGATAGAAAACTGTATTTTAAATTGTCAGGGAAAAGTTTGAATTTTTTGTTTTATTATGCCATCTTTGTGTATGAAACACTATACATGAATGAAAATAAAAAAAGAAAATATATTTTATTCCAATATTTTCGAAAACAAAATGAACTCTAAGAAAAAATAGCAAATAAAATAGTAAACACAGATATATGTATGACTATTTAAGAATTACATTAACATTTTCTATATTTGTTAAAAGTTCAACTAATACATAAACATTTTATAAATTAAAATTTAGATGTATTTATTTTTATTTTTTAATAATAATATGACATGCATTATAAGTTTTTTTATAAATTTGGATACGATATTTTATTGTAGCTAGACTATTATTAGACACGATATTTATTTTGAAAAAAATTGTATTTTAACAATAATTCCCATAATCTAAAATTTATATATAATAGTTTGTAGTAGCTAGACTATTAGATACGGTACTTTATATAATTATTTTTTCTGAAAGGTAATAAAAAGAAAAAATCGCGAAATACTAAACATTAGCATACACACACACACACACACATATATACACACACACACTCCGTATGTTCTAAATACTGGAGTACTAAATATAATATTTTTAATAGTAGATACAATAAATAAATATATAAATAAAAAATGAAAATTTTTTAAACTAATTCTTATGATATTGTTTTGAAATAAAAATTATAATTTTAATAATGATGCAAATGTATTATATTTCATATGAATCTATATTTTTTAAAAAATAAGAAAAAGTGGTGTAAAAAATCATACAAAGTGTTGTCTTTTAAAAAAATAATAAAGTTTATATAACATTTGAAAAAAGTAATTAAATAATAAGACATTGAAATATATTTTAAAATGATGAAAGACATATTAGTATAAAAATTAGAAGATGAAAATTTTATATATACAAATTTATTGTAATTAAATACAATAATCATGAATAGTTTTTTAAATAAAAAATATTCTAATAAATGCCATGTGGACCAATAAAATAATGACATTATGCCACGTGGATAAAAAATTTGCTATGTCATATGCCACATGTCTTCACCACAACTAAAGAACTCTCCTTTACATATATATATATATATATATATATATATATAGGGAAAAATTTTATTAAGAAAGAAGGACCAAGTACAGACCAAGATATATATATATATATATATATATATATATATATATATATATATTATTTCTATTCACCACTGTAAACTGTGGATAACAAATTGGAGGCAATTTGTAATATGTTTAACATCAACAAAAACAAAGGCAAACAAAATTACAACACGAGACTAGGGATATAGCAAATAGCTACACAACATACCTTTAAGTTTTTTACAGTAGTGTATACTAGTTCACATCCAAAAGAGAGTAGGAAGTATTCAGCAGCGCGTTCATATGCATGCCAAGGAGGAAGCATGCTGAGGAATCTATCGCCACGCAGAACAGGTACAGGATCCCAGAGATTCAAAACCTAGAAAAGTAACACATAAAGTCTCATTGCATTTTCCATGGAAAGAAACGATGCTAAAGATGGGAAAAGTGTAATAAAAAGATCCTAAAACACTAAGGATAATTTCACATATATCATTAAGAAAAGTCTTGGAAACAACCTCTCTACTTCCGAGTAGGGGTAAGGTCTACATACACACACCCTCACAGACCCTACTTTTTGTGAGATTTTATTAGGTTTGTTGTGGTTGTTGTATCATTAGCAAAAGTGCCTGAACCTGGAACTTTAACGAAGTACCAACTCAAGATGGACACTTAAAAGTTATGGGTTTTAGAAGAAAATATTAAAATTTAAATTTTCGAACAATAAGATTTTCCATGATTTTGTAACTAAAATGACAATGAGACTGTTTGGACTGCAGGGGTGTAATTGGGATTGGAGTAATTGAAGTTTTTGTCATGTTTGGTTGACCATATAATTAAAAAGTCAGAACACAACTCGTGTAATTGAAAATGCCCAATTACACTTTTCAATTCCCAGAGAAGAAGCTCGGCTTTTACTAAAATCTACATACACAATAAACAATTACACACCGCTGTAAGATATCATATACAAAGTAATTACATTGTGACTACCAAGCAGTCTATATAATTATACAACCATGTAATTACAGCTATGCAATTACTACCCTAGTGTTTACACAACCTAATAATCACACTATGATATCCAAACCCATCCCAAAAAAGGTTACTCCAGTCCAGCCTTTCGACAGAAGGGGACTCTTTCTTTCATCTTCAGCGGCTCAAGCTTATAGACAAGCCCAACGCTTCTCCTTCATATAAGCTTTCCCCTAACCTAATGTTCATGCTTTTTAGAGAGGGGAGCCTGTTATCCTATTCCAATCAACTGAAGTCAAAGATATTGCTAGAAATTAGAGATTTCTCCTGCTCTATAAGTTTTCCTGTGGCAAACCACCGCTGGAAGAGATTAGAGGAAAAATGTTAAGATTAGTTATTGTCCAAGGATTCAGTTCTAATTGGGTGGCTCAACCAAGTTAATGTTTGCATCTCAAACCATGCATGCTGTGGAAGATTGCTGATCTGGAAGATAAATGGATGCTCCATTCAGAATTGCAGAAGGGCATGACCTAATGGAATGATCAACTAGAACCGTCATTCCTACTTCTTACCTGCTCTTATCACTACCATAAATGGTATGTAGATTTCCCCATATGGATCTGAAAGGGTTGATTAAGAGCCAGCTGGAGCAACTGCTTCAGAGGGAAATTTGTGTTTTTACTTGCAGTTTATTTTCCATGTTGTTGGATACTGGTCAAGCAATATATTTTCCTTTGTTTTACTTGTCTGATTTCCCTTCTTTTTTTTCAAGTTTGTGTCCATCACTGCATATCCTAGACATGTAGGATTATGCCCCCAACCCCTCTCTTTTAATATAGTTATTACATTTTGGTTTTTACACAAAGGAATAATTTCATCGTGATGGTATATTGGGCCGAAAGATATATATCCATGCAATTAATCCAATTTATTTTATCCAAGTCTTAGGCCTAATGATTTAAGCCCGGACCCGAAGGCAACCCAGGATCCGATTGGTGGATCAACCCGCTTGGGCCGTGAGGAATGTTTAATGGGCTGGAGCCGTTTTAGCTAGGGTTTATTACTTGGGGAGAGGTTTACCTAGTCTCCTAAAGAGGCCTACTTGGATTAGGAAGCTTGGGAGGCTATATATTCTCCCAAGGCATACGAAAGGGGGAGAAATCTTTCATACCAATCTTGAGTTATTCTTGTCTCTATAATAATAATCCATATTCCCTAATTCTAGAGAGATATCGTGAGATTTGTTTTATTTGGTGGAATTAAAGTTCCATCATATAGAAAAAGACGACAATGAAACCTGGATTCACAATATTGTGTCTCTACATGCAAATGCTATAATCAATGATCGCCGACATGTCAATATTTATAACACCAAATCCTTTGTTCGCCCAACTTAGAATGACAATTACTTTTCAGTTATCTTGACAAAATTAACTTCTTATGTGATATCATTGTTAGAAAGTATCATTGGTGTTTTTTTGGTTTCCATTCATTCAGGTCCATGGATACTATAGAATTGATCAAGTTACCATAATAAAGATAAAATGAAAAGGCAGAAACCTGGTGAAGCAGATTCTTATGTGTAAGCATAACACCTTTTGGATTGCCAGTAGTTCCACTAGTATAAACAAGTGTGGCAACATCATCAGAGTTGATTGGTTCATATATAAACTGACGCCCTGCGAATTCATTAATTACTCAGTGGTTATTCCACCTAAATGCATTTTGTGCTGATCAACTGGTCTTAAAAGAACATAATAGTGTCTATGATGTTAAGGCATTTAGAGATACAACAATTAATACGAGAAATACATTTAAAATTATGCTCTTGTGTTCACTTTCTGACCTTTGTTATATGCATGGCGGTTTTTTAATACATTTTACTTTCCCAAGTCAAATAAGAATTAAGACATGTGCCTAGAGGTCATCCAATGGTGTTTCATTCGCATAGCATTTTACTGATTAAGCTAAATGAAGCAGCAACTGTTTTAGATGGACATTTATTTATTTACTTTATTTAACAATTCAAGAAACCATGTCTCTTGACATTATGTTTACTTTTCTACATCAGATCAAAGTATAAGCTTCTGTAGAGAGGTGTTCTGACCCTGGGTTTGGGATCAAGTTATGGGGGATCACAAAAGTTATTTGAAGATTTGTGTTTGGGGAGGTTTCCTCCCTTTCCCTAGGGTGAATGAATAAATTAGAGCTTGTTTGAGAGAACGCTGTGATATCATAAAAGAGACACTAGGAATTATTGTATGTCCTTTTTATAAAAAATTAAGTGACCATAAACAGTAAACACACATGAAAAATCTAGGATTGTTACTTACACGGGGAGACACATAATGATTGTATCTAACTAAACACATATATATTAAAAAAACTTGCAAGTTGTCTCTTAACAAGAGGGTATACAATGATACATTGTATTTATCATTCACAACAACATGCAGTTTTCATCTAGATAGGACCCAATGTATTTATCTGTACTAGTTTTGAAAATAATAATTGGTATATTTATATATCATATGTCTCGGGTAAAATCACTTACCAGCTTCTTGTGAGTGAAGTAGAGCCATATGACTCTTATTGCCCAGGTCTAAGATCTCGGTATACCTATATATGGGGAGTCCATCTATTACTTCGCTTCTGATACTTGATTTTTCCCCCCAAAGTAAGATGACAAATCTTACATCTACCCGGGAGTGGAAGGTCTCTGCGATTCGGCTGTACATTTCAGGATTGTCGACAACAAGTGCAACACTGTATTTATTGACAAAAAAGTTATGGCATGTTCAATTATCTTGCAAGGATATATAAAAGTTGATAGTTGTTGTGGAAAGGAAGAAGACACAGGGGAGAGATCACCCTGTAATATCTCACATCTATTGGAATAATCAAAGTATGCTGCTTTTGAATGGCAAGCTTATCATATGTGAGCTTAAAACACTCGAAAAAGACAGCTGAGAAAGGTTGCTCATTTAAGAACTAACAGATCAATCTAACCAACTTGTGCAGTAATGCAATTTCAACAATAAATATTGAGATATACAACCAAGCCTTATCCCACTTGGAATAAATACTGAGATATTACGCTCTACTTAAATTTTAACAGTAATTCAGAAATCAAGTCTTTTTAGGAGCGGACTCAAAGGATTCATTTTATACATGAAAGACTGAATCAAAAGAGACAATTGTAGCACAAAATATGAAAAAAAATATCACACCCAAGGTCTAATAAGTAATATAAATATAAAATTATTCAGCGACCCTTTTTCAAATTTAAAAACTAAAATTAAGCATCACAATAATCTATGGGAGTATTTGGTTCCAAAATGGGAACCAAAAATAAAATCTGTATCAAAGATTAAATAATTGATACTCCGTAAATTGTATGTGTTTTACACAATTACAAGAACCTCCCGTTTGCAATTACCAGAAATGCAATAATCTGAACTAGCACTTTATTTTAATACACACATAGAATAGGATTTAATGACAAAAAGTTATGTTAACTTCACATTGACACATAAATCTGTGTTTTTATTCCATGGTAATAATTTATGTTTTCCATCTAACCGATTCTCAATGGGGAAGGTGAAAATACTTGTGGGTCACCTCGTGTGATCATTTAATGGCATACAGAACATCCCATTGATTAGGAATTAAGGTTATGTGGTGGACCTGTGGTATAAATTTCCAATCCTGGACTTAAAAGAAGTAGAGGAAGTTTAATGTGTCTTGATTTAGTTTATTATGTGCCCAAAATTTAAACGTGGCAATGGACTCAGGTGGAGAAGTAAAATACTAATACTCCCTCCGTCCAATATCTTTCTTCTCACTTTCCTTTTCGGGTTGTCCGATTTGATTCTTCACGTTTCCTAAAATGGAATGAAAATAAATCTAAAGTTACTCTTTTACCCCTACTTCTTTTACTGTTTCTCTCCCCCAATCCTCAATCTCATTACTCCCGTGTTTCTCTCTTCCTTAGTTCTTCACTCATACTCCCCCCCCCCCCTTTCTCCTTCTTTCTCTTCTTCTTTTCTTCTTCTGATAACCCCCAAGGGTGGTGGCGAAGGGCAATGGTGAAGGGAGGGATGAACCTCTCAGATATGCAAAGCCTTTTAAATATTAGCAGCACAGCGGAGCTTTCATATTTGCAGCGGAGATCTCAGATCAGATTTTTATTTCTTCGCCCCTTTTACTCTATCTTCATTTCTTTTTCAATTTCTTTGAGGCATGACCCTAAATTTAACATTCCTAAGTTTGATGAGATTTATTTTTGATTTTGTTATGTTGGGAGTAGGAAGGATGGCTGGGGATAGGGCAGATTTGAGGTTGAAGAAGATGATGTTTGGGTTTGAGGACGGAGAGCATGGATAGGGTTTAATGTTGAAGATGAAGAAGAAAGTATTTGAGATTTGTTAATGGATGCTGGGTGGTGAGGTTGAGGTTGAAGTTGAAGAGGAAGAATTGTTTGGGTTACAGGAGGGCAGGTCGACATGGGCTGGGTGGGGAAATAGAGAGCAAAATTGGAAAGTCAGAGTAATTTACTTTACATTAAAGTCTGTGCCAAGTCAAAACAAGAAGTTTCAACTTGAACGGAGGGAGTAATAAATTAATAATATTCCTCTAATTGTTTGAGTGTAACGCATCCCCTTCTATAATGTAAGCTCCAGAGTTTGTGCAGTTTCCATGTTTCATCAAGGGGAAATCTAAATATATACTCCGTCTGTTGCATTACTGGATAGTATTAGAACTTTAAAGGAGAAAACATGTTTCCTTGGTGATAGAGACTTTCAAGGAAACTTAAGTTCTTAGGTGATAAAGGTTTTAATACAATAATATCATTATCGCCAGTCGCCACGTAGACAGAAAAGAGAAATTAAGTAATAAAATAGAAATCTTTCTTGAGAAACATCTGGACTAACCTTTCAGAATGGTTGTATATAGACAAAAGCTCTTCAGCTGATGACCTTGAACCCCTCACCACATTGACTGCCCCAGTGGACATTATACCTGAAAGGGATTTTTGCAATTCATTTTCTGAATAAACTTAAATTCTGCATTTTGATGCATTTGATTGATAAAAAGCATGTTTCGTACTCAATACAGCTGATGCAGTCACAATGTCACTTTTAAATAGCTTTAGAAACTACCATATAGAAAAGAATGTGATCTGTCTTACCTAAAAGCCTAAGCTAACAATTGGATATTGGACTTCATGTTTATTATTTACTCCCTCAGTCCCTCAATCCCAATTTGTTGTGCTCACTTTGACTGGGCACGGGAATTAATAAAATAAAAACTGTGTGATTGAGATTTATAAAGAGGTGAGAGAAATATGAACCACATAATACTTTCTATACATGGAAACATGCACAATAAATCGGAACGGGAAAAAAGGAACACATGCTCAACAAGTTGGGACGGTGGTATAAGTTATTAAATCTCAACAAACTCTCTCATGTGTTGGCCAATACTCTTTGTTGGGCCAAACACCACATATAACTATATTTTGAGCTTTGGGTGAGGCGGATTTTCAAATTTAGGACCTTTGGTGCAATCTAAGCCGAAGGATGGGATTTGTCCCAACTAAAAGCCTAAGTTTATAGCTGGACTCCATATTCATTATTTATATTACTCCCTCTGTCCTACAGAAAGGTTTTACATTTCTTTTTTGTTCGTCCCGGTGAAAGATTCCACATTCATTTTAAGGGAAAATGTGTGATTAATTTTATTTCTCTCTTCATAAATATCAACCATTTAATTTCTTCATCCTTAATAATAGTGTCTATTTTAATGTGGAACCTTATTTTAGAAAGGAGAGAGTATTATATATTAACATTGTTGATGTGGAGCTTCCCTCGCAAGTCGCAACTTTAGTAGAGAGAGATTTAGCCTCCAAAGCGCCCATTAAATTTAATTCTCAATGGGGTCATGAGCATAGTGTGATCATAATGTGCCACAAAGAGTTATGAGAAATCATTTTCATTACATGATATATATTTATATTTAAGGATTTTTGTCCATGAAAAACTCATAACTAAAAAACTCAACTCATTTCTTCGTCAAGTTTAGTCAAGAATGGTCTTCTCGTCATTGATTTACTTCTGGTAGGGTAAATCATAATGAGCTAAATATGTATAACCAAAGTGATCCATCATGCTTTCTCTTACTGTAGTATTTTGATCTATAGCGGTTTGACAAGACTATAATTTTCAAAAAGTTGACGGAAGGGACACACAAACCGAACATGTACCATGTGAAACCCAATTAATGTTGGGGAAAAAATCCCCTGTTCAGAATATTATACTCATGAGACTAGAGAAAATTAACAACTTAAGAACATACAATATTTTTAAAGTGGTTCGGTTTCTCAATTAACCTACAGCCACAAAAACTCACTATATGTACAATTTTGAACGAACAAATTATAACCCTCTCTCATGTAGTGCTTAGAACTCTCAATTAATTCTAAAACACAAACACACAAGTAATTTAAGCATTTTATCAAAAAAAAATTACTCACTAAAATTGGTGTGGAGCTCTCCTCTTAACACACAATTTCTCTCTCTACCTCTCTCTTCTTTCTCTCATGTTAGAAATAAATTTTGAGAAGATTAATCATACACTTCGACCTCATCTCGATTTATAGGAAAACAAGTGAAATAGAAAATAATACTTATATATTCCACTGCCACATGCGTTCTACCGCCTCACCAAGTTGATAGTGTTCAACTTGATATTTTTTTCTCAATTCTTCTTTTTTTGTTATTAAGATTAGGAATGTGAGATTTTATTTGCACCCAACCATCCTTCCCTCAAACTAAGGAGCACACAAAACATGACCTCCTCTTCATCAATAATCCATTTGATCCATTTGATCTATAAACCATCTTAAACTGCCGCTTCCATCTAGCGGGACACGTCGCCCGAAAACCACTTTATCGAGAAGACTTTCTATGAAAGATACCACCCACACAGAACTCCAATCATTATGATATTTCATCTCATCTATCAATCATCTTGTGGGGTCGTTATTACCCAATGCGGCACCAATGTTGACTGGACATTGCTCAAAAAGTGATTTACAATATCTCTACACATTGATAAAAGGAAAAATTAAAACTAATAATACAACATTTGGTTTGAAGAACAAAAATTGCAATTTCTACACGGGTAGTCCAAAGTTGCAAGTTGATTAACAACACCAACTTTAACAATATCACCATCTGTAAACTAAAAGGCCATCAGCACTACCACTCTTTAACAAACCACCACTGATGCAAACCCCTAAGTTGGGTCGGGTCTTCATTTATCACTTAAATATCTCTTATTTCTTTCTTTAATTAGCTTTGTATATGTAATGGTGGCTTTTTTCTTTGAAAATCTCTCAATGTTGCCCTTCTTGGACCTCTCCTCTTCCATGGAACCATGTCTGAGCCGAAAGAGGTTCTTTTTTATGTGTGATTACTCTTTTCTTTGTTTTTAAAGAACTATGTTACGTTTGATTTTAAAAATTAAACAAAATGCTTGATTCTATATGGACATGGACAACTCCAAATTACTTTTTTGCGAGTGGCAATGACGGTGCGTGTTGGTGGTTGCACTGTCTTGCGGGGTGGCTTGCTATATGGGAACCCAAAGTCCCAAACATCACTCCATGATGGCTTGCTAAAGATGGCGACACTGGCGTTTTGAAGACTTTGTCTAAATACTTAGTTTTTTATTGTAACTCATTCAATTTCTCTAAGTCATGGCTCAAAACAAAATATGTTTTTCATGCATCAAATGAGTGTTTTCATAAATGATTTTAAGTTTCTAAATCCCCTGGTTCTTGCCCAACCAAAACCATAACCATCGGTTTTCGGCATTCGGCTATGGCGTTCAGTTTTCGACATTGGTTTTGGCATTGATTTTACTATTTTAGCCAAATAGTTTTTGGGTTTTTATCTTTCATTTTTGCTTCTGGACATATTTAAAGGTTTTCCAAATCATTAGTTTTCAAAAACCATAACCTTTGTTTTTTGGCGTTGGTTATCGGCATTGGGCGCTGGTTATCGGCGTTGGTTTTTGGCGTCCAAATCAATCAAGTGTTTTTTAATATTTTATGATTGGTTTTTACTTCTAGAAATATCCAAACAGTTTTCCAACAAAAACATGTTAAAAACCACCTTTCGTTTTTGGTCTTTTGGTGGAAATCATTTGAAATGGCATAAACTTGGCTAGTCGTGGTTTTTACCTTAATGAAGTGGTTTTTAAGTTTTTATACTTGGTTTCTACATAAAATACATTATATAAGAGTTTCCAACACTTGGTTTTTATTTTGGGGAACTTCACATTTTATTGGTCGGGTTTCAGTATCGGTCGGGTTTCAACATCGGTCGGCTAGGCCATGGTTCAAGCAAAAACCATAGGTTTTTGGACTAGCCATCAACCCAGCAATGGGAGATATTACCCATCGATGGGAGATATTACCCATCGATGGGTAAGTGGTCCTTTAGCTCAGCTGGATTCCAGAACCATGCCACACAGCGATGGGGAGTTCTACCCATCGTTGTACAAGCCTTGGTTCAACATTAACACAAGGCAGAATGCCCTCACCCAGCGATGGGGACTTGGACACATCGCTGGGTACCGGCGATGGGAGAGTATACCCATCGCTGGTTAGGCGTTACCGTTGTAAGGCATTTAAGCCTGATTCTTTTCTTGTTTGAAAGTCAACCTCCCACCCAGCAATGGGAAGTGCTTACCCATCGATGGGTAGGTGACCGTTGTCTTTAAAATTGAAGGAAAAAGGCTTACCCGCGATGGGTAGATCCACACATCGTTGGGTAGGCTGATTTCCTGCAGATCCACTTTTATTTGATTTCCACAAATCATGCCATTAAACCCAAATCAACTCCGATCCGTTACACATCATTTTTTGGGTATAAATAGGGTCTTTTCGGTCTACTTTTCACAACCATTCCTCACACATTTCATAGCTTTACATTGCATCATTCCATAAACTTTTTACATAGCTTTTTAGAGCCATTTCTTGAAGAATTGAGTGTGTTCTTGATCTAAATTAGTTTACTCATATTCTACTCTTTAAGAGAGTTTTTGTTCTTGAGTAATTAAGTATTGTGAACACTTTAAGGGAGGTTTGTTCCTTTGGTGAAGGAAGGGCATATTCTTTCGGGTTGAAGTCTTGGAGTGCGGTATCTCCGAGCAAGTGTATTGAGGCTCATGGGACTCAAGTTCTCAGGTTGTAACGGTTTGTTAAGCACCCGTAAGCTTAACGTAAGTACTGTAGCTCGAGAGAGTCTCTCGGGAGGCTGGACTAGCCACATGTTGCCAGGGTAAAATCGGTGTGTTCTTTCCTTACGCTTTTTTATTCCGCTCTTTACTTTATCCCTGTAATTTTTATTTCGCAAAAATTTATAAACATTCTCGTGCCTCACTATTCACCCCCCCCCCACCCCATCTAGTGAAGGGCACTTATTCTAACACAAACAATTTGCTAGTGACTCAAAGATCTTGAATGTGAGGGGCGAATGTTAGATTATGTGGTGTCTCTCTGTGCTTATAAGCTGGTCAAAAGTGCTTATAAGTTGTTTTTAACTTATAAGTCTATTGATGACGTGTATCTCTCTACTTATGAGCTGACTTATAACTCAAAAAAATAAGCAGATAAGACCTACTTATTTTTAAGCCAGTTTTTTCATTTCTCTGTTTTGACCAGATTATTTACAAAACAATCACTCACCATTGATGAATATCCACAAAGGACTTATCTATCATTTAAATTTTTTTACTTTCACAGCTTATAGGTCAAAAACTGTTACAATAAGTCAATAAACACCAACACAAAGAAACATCCCCTATTTGTGTGCATTTTTCCTTGATTAAAATGAGAGGAGTTTCACGAGTATTGCGTGATCATAATGTGTCGCAAAGAATGAGCCGATGGGGAGAATTGTATATTTATATATGACCGCCACTCAACAAGGTTTATTTTATCACATGAAGATGAGGAGCAAATTACGATGATGAGTGTGGCAAAGATGCATATGTTTAGATGGATGTGTAGTAACCCTAGAAAAAATAGAGTAGCAAATGAGGAGCAATGCACATGGGAGAGATTAATTATAGAAAATATGATAGGGAGAATCTACTTTACAGCTTGGGGATGTCAGACATTGAGAGATATGTGCTCCAATACAAGAAGGCTAGAAGTAGACTTTGGGAACGTTAAAGATCTTAAAAAGTTAGAGATTGGATATAACATGAATTGAAGTGTGAAGTAGGTATTTTCACAGCAACTCTTTTGTTGGCATGCATCATAATCAATACTAAGAAGTTAGAATAAAAGAATGGGTTTAAAAGTACAAAATAAAGAGCAAGTACCTTGATCTGCAACCAGCCATCGGCATGAATTATCAGCAAAAAGTGCAATCTTTTCATCTGGTTTTAACCCAACAACTCTAAGACCTTCAGCAAAGCTAAGAATTTCCTTTTCAAGCTGTACAAAAAAAGCATGTGTTGACATTGGATCAAGAGCTGGTTAGAAATTTGATTCGTTTTTAGACAAGACACTTGATGTGGAGGTTTCCAGCTGCACAAAGAGTTGTACTGTAATCATCTGCACATTAAACTACTGAAGTATTAAGATCTTGCAGCGTACTCGATGTGGAGTTTTTCAGATGCAAATTATGCACTCCCCTTCCATCCCATTTTCTAGGACCCAAGTTCCCAACTGCTTTTCAGTCAGATATTAATAAGAAAACAAATAATACTTAGTTGCTTCTACTCCTTTACCCATAAAAGTTTTTTTTGTGAAAAGTTGTGCATAAAGATTAAAATGTCAAGTCAATACTGCAAGTCGGAAAAAGCAGAACGTTAGAGGAATCAGAAAAAGGAAATTGGCATAACTGTGATACAACAAGAGAGCCTTATCCCAACATGGATCAAATGACCCCATTGCACCCTATCATGTATCATATCCGGTGAGAGATCATACACGCGAAGGCCCCCCTTGACTACTTCATGTCAAGTCTTCTTAGGTCAAAGAAAAAAGTCCATTTAGAATAAAAGAGGCTATATTCTCATTGCATTAAATGTTTTTTATGATAAAAGTATCAGAACTTACAAGTATATTGAATGGGTTAAGTTTAGTCAAATCAAAAATTAAATTTAAACATATAGGTATATTTGATTTGTAACTTACAAAAATTTTAAAAAGTACCTTTGTGAATAAGAACTCTCAAATATTTTAAATTATATATTAATAAGGAGTACTTTTACACTTTGATTTAATTTTACCTATTATTAATAATCCATGAAAAAAGCAAAAACTTTCTAAAATAACATTAAAAATGGTTTTACAAATCTACAACTAGAAAGTATATGATAATATATTCCTTCTGTCCAAAAGCACTCTTCATATTTTGACTTGGCGACTTTATTAAAGAAAGTGAAATTAGACGTTTGAGAATTTTGAAAAAGAAAATTTTGTATCATTGTATCAACCGTCCTTGAAAGAAAACGAGAATATTAGTTTGGGATAGAACGAGAAAGAAAACAAAAGATTGATAGAGGGTATTATTTTTACACGTAAGAAAATAATATACTCTATCCATCCCATAAAGAGACATGTTTCAAACACTTTTCCCCCCTAAAAATAAGTCAAAATCTTGGTTTAATGGTTAATGGGAGCTTACACCTTGATCAACCATACTCTTTTTGGGGATGGAGTCATGGAGCCATGGAGGCAATACTAAAAAAAGTGTCAGGACATTTGCAACAAGAACTAAAAATGATCATTATCTAACTAAAAGCTAAGATCACAGCAATACGGCAATAACATTGTGCAATCTAGGAAGGTAAGATTTACAAATGTTTACCTTTGTTGTCTAAATGATTTGAAGCAATGGCCTATATGACCTAGTACCATACAACTACCTAAGGGTGAACAAGTGAGCACTTAACAGACACACTAGACCCAACCTTCAAAAGAGAGATCCAAGTGCATATGCCTCCCCCTCCCCCTAATGTGATACACGAAATAGGAGAGGATAATTTACCAAACCTTACCACTATATTGGGATTCACATGATCAGAGAAATAATCAATTGAGTAATACTGTAACAAGCCAACAAATATATCGAAAGGAAAAGCTAACCTGCTTATAGCTCAAATGTGTTGGAGGATTATGGTATGGGTCGACTAAAGCTATGTGATTGCCAAACTTCTCTGCTGCTGACTTCCAAATATCAGGAACTGCTTTGTATTCAGAAGATGAAAATGAGACAGTCCCTGACAGAAACATGCTCTCTAGAACAGGTGAGCATTTCCTAATTTGAACTTCCTTCATATAGAAAAGGGAAAAAGTATAAATGGGGATTCTAGTATATTCAGAAAAGTATAAATGGGAAAAAGTAAACACAGTTCACCTTTCTTATTATATCGTGATATCAAATACACTTTAATACAGAAAACCTTATTGCTCACATAATGCATGCCTACATTATAAGATCGTGCTTACTGGCATTGCACAATGATATGGAGATTAGTTTATAGATCAAGGTTACATATATTCAGATTTTAATTATTATCTTGACTTAGCAAATCCACGCAAATCCAGTTCGTGAGAATTCAAGATATTGTAGTATTATTATGAATATTATAATTATAATTGTTATCTCCTACTTTGAGAAAAGTGTGTAACTCACATGATTTCCAATTAGTGAAAATCTTTTCCTTTAGAGTGGCTTCATCCGATTTCTGTTTCCATGTTTTGTTTTCTTTTATTATTTTTCCATCTCGATCAATTCCACAGCAATGATCACATTAATGCTGAGTTATTAAAGATGAGCTCAAAGCTTCAACTATAGGCGTTAAAATTCCACATTAGGAAGTCAACGAAAGAGATTTATTAATAAGATATTGAGTTGAACTAGTTAGTCGATTAGATTTAATCTTTTAGGCCTTGTTTGGTTGAAGGGAAGTGGGAGGGAAGTGAGGGGTTGGAATGGAAATAAGGAAATTGGAAAATTTCCATTGTTTGGTGGGAAGAAAATTGGGAAGGAAATGAGAAGGAAGTGGGAGGAAAATTAAAATTGAGTTGAAAACAATTTTCACACACTTTTGGAATGAAATAGGAAGAAAAATATTCTCTTTTCCTCATTATCCCCATTTCACCTTTTAATTCTCTTTGTCTTTTTTTGTTCCTCCATAACACTTGTGTTTTTTTGTTTTTCTTTTCTTATTCTTCCATATGTGCGTATACTTTTTTCTTTTTAAAAATATTTTAAACTAAATTTTAAATGAATTAAGCAATTTTTATTTTATTTAACATTTTTAATTGAAATAAAATTGTTAAACAAAAAATAATTATTTTAACTATTAAAACTTTTTGAGTGTCTTCTCCTCTTAGACGTGGCTGCCATCTCCGTGTCACTACCTCCCAATATGAGCCAATGCCATTATCAGTATTGAAGTTATTTTCAATTTAATTTATTTGATTATAGGTATAAACTTCAAAAATAAAATTTATATATTAAAAAACTATATAAAAAATTTTACAAAATAAGAGATGGCGTATCTACATTTTTTATGAAATAAAAAGTGAAAATAAATAATAAAGTAAATAATGTTTAAATGCAAAAGTTGATTTTTTAAGTAATATAATTGAACACATTTTTTATGAAATGAGGAATTACAGATACCATATGTTCAAAAATTAGGAATTGTAGAATACCGTACCCAATCTAGTTAAACCCGTTTGTTATTATTTTATTTATATGAACTTATAATAATAATTTACTCTATATAATATTTGTAATAACAATAAGTTTATTACATAAAAAATGTACTTTTTAATAATTATATCATGATTTTTTACATGTATTATATTTTAAATGGTGTATTCCTCAAAAAATATTTTGAATGGAGTGAGTATAATTTTATTTCAATAAATAATTTTTTCCTAATTTCCTTCCAATCAAATAAGGGAATTTAATTTTTCCCATCCTCCCATTCCTTCCAACCAAACAAACCAATGGAAGTTGGATTTCCACTCTATTTCTTTCCTCTCCACTTCCTTTCACTCCACTTCCTTCCTCTCCATTTCCTTTCGTTACCAAACATAGGGTTTGTGTGGTTCGACACAAGTGTCTTATGGTACAGTTGAATGACAGCTACCGAATGCTAAAATTCTATCATGGTATGAAAGCCGGTTTTCGCTCATCTCATTTGTACGGTTATCCATTTGATGTTGAGTCCCCGTGGCTTGTGAACATTTAGCCTAGTCGTTTGCATGGAAGTCTAACCCAATCAGCATGAGCCCTATTTAATCTGGCTTTACATTTTAAAGTCAAGTGATCCGTTAGGTATTGACGCTATACTTCAAACTTTTGTTTAGGGGAGTGGAGTCCACTTCCAAGTTCCAAGCGGTCAACCAATTATATCCAAAATGTCTTGGTTCTCTACTTGGGGGGAGTGTTGAAATTCCACATTGGAAAGTCAAGGAAAACAGATGGTTTAATCAGATCTAATATGACTAGCAAATTGGTTTTGATTGAATTCAATCTTTTAGTATGGTTTGACATGAGTTAAGCCCATTTGATCCAACCTGAAATTCTATCAATAGAAGATTTCTTTGTAGCAAGAAAACTAGCTAACTATCATTTCATAGACTACACAGATTTTACAGGGTACTAAACAATACCCAAGCCAACAGCCTACCAAACTCAGATACTGTAATAGCCAATTATATCTACTCCATCATCTCGAATGGACAAGCATCAGTTGGAAATATAAACAAAGCTGATTCAATAGGCATCCTCTATCTAGAGTCTAGACAAGCAAATGAAGAAAAAACAGGTAGCCAAGTTAGTCACCGTTGAATTGCAAAAAACTCTGAAATTCCGAGATCTCGAGCACGGATGGCTCCTCTTCCAGTGCAATTTGAGGAACCCTCGGCTAGAGAAGATATCCTGAAAGAAAAGGTTTCCATGATTCGAGTTGGAAACCAGAAACACAGCCGGTGAAGCGCTCGCTGCCGTCATTTTGATCGCCGATAATGAGATGAAATAAGAGAGAAGAGAAAGGGAAGATCTATATACTGAGAGTAACTCGGTGCCAACTTTTATCGGGAAAAGGTGAGTGTTGAATATGGTGGCAGGCAGTGATGTGGAGGAGAGGGATTGCTCTGCTGAGGACTGCCCAGGCTGGGTTGTTGAAAAAAATTGAAATAACGACATAGTGCCAACATTTGTGGCAAATACGGAGTAGGAGTAAATTTCTATGGCCCTCGCCAACACTTTGATAAGAATTAAGAAAGGTCATACTACACTTAAACCAAAAATTGTATCTCATTTGTATACTGCAGTTATACACAAATATTTTGATAGTTTACACCGACACAAGTGTTGGTGTGTTAGCAAAATTTTACACGGAAACAAAGCGTTGGTGCGTTAACAAAAATTAGTTTTACACCAACATAAAATGTCAGTGCAAACCTGCGGTATACAAAATGGGGTACAAAAGTTTTGGGTACAAATAGCTTTATCCAAGAATTAAAGAGTCTTACTCATAAATTATTTTTAATGCATAAGTTGTTTATAAGCTCAATATTATTTTATAGAATTTAAATCACTTAAATGATAGATAGGTCATTTAAGTATGTTCATAAATCCTGAGAAACAATTTTGTAATTATTCTATCCAAAATGGAGAAACAAAAAATCGACTTAAAATTAAGTAGGTAAGATATTTTTATTTTTTTAAACTTATAACCATAGAAAAACATGTCATCAGTTAACTTATAAGTTACTTCATCCGTCTCTAAATTACTTACACACTTTACCTTTTAGAAATTGCGAATATTTTTTTTATTTGTGAGTTTTTGTTGGTTATTTGATTAAATAAATATTTTTGTCACCTCTTGTTTTGTAGAATTTTTTATATACTTTTTAAGTATGTAAGTTTTATTTTTTAAGAAGAACTCCTTAGAGAGGAGTAAAAGACTATGAAAATACCAAAATAGAGTCAGAAGTCTTTTAAGACCAAAATAGGAGTTCTCAATGCAATTGTTACACTGTCACACTTGCCACATTGTAACTGCAATTGTTACACTGTCACATAGTAATAATAACAATAGTAATAATAAATATAATAATAGTAATAATAGTAGTAACAATAATAATATTATTTATATTAATAGTAAAAATAATAATAATAATAATAATAATAATAGTAATAATAATTATAACCATAATATGAGCAATAGTAATAATAATACTAATAACAGTGGTAATAATAATAAAAATAATACTACCACCTTTTTTTAGATCTAGTCTCATCTGATCTGGTCTCATCAAATCTGATATGGTCTGATCTCATCTGATTTGATTGGATCTAATCTGATCTGATTGGATCTAATCTGATATTAATAAGAATAAGTAATAAGAAGAAAAAATAAGTTGATTCCTTAGAATCATTTATAATACATGATTTCCTATACAGCCTCCCTACTTCCGAGTAGGGGCAAGGTCTGCATACACACACCCTCCCCAGACCCTACTGTTGTGGGATTCAACTGGGTTGTTGTTGTTGTTGTTGATTTCATATACCTGCATGTCATTTTATGTTAGTCATACACTCATACTGAAAGTCTTGATAACACGCTCAACGTGATATCCATGAATCATCGATACTAGAGAATACTCGCAAATGTGCCAAAAAGACCCTATAATATCCTTAAACAACTCGGTGATTCAAACTAGATTATATATAATTGATATTGATACATTTTGAACCATCCCGGAGCTTAAAATGGACCCAAAATGCTTATGAACTTTCGGTGGATCGATCACCTAAGCTGTGATCGATCATTCGATGTTGGAAAGGAACTTCAGGAAAGTTTTTTTTAAAAGATGGTGATCGATCACCGAGGTTGGATCGATCACGTGGAGTATTTTCTGTTAGAATGAAGTTTTTTCATTCTGGGGGATCGATCACCCAACACCCCCAACTCACATTTAGGCCGCTTTTCGATATCATATAAAGGGTAAACCTTTTTCTATTTGTCAAATGATTTATGATCATGCTTTACCCTCCAAACTTACTAAAAGTGATCATTTTTTATGAGATGAATTCTCGTATTATATTATGTGGTTTAAATTGAGACCCTCACATGCTCCAATCCATAAACACGATTAAATGATGTCTAATGATTAAAAGGATATTTTGGATGGTTTGAACTAAGTTACTTCTAATGATAGGTAGTATTGATTTGAGTGTATATATGTGGGCAATATTAGGAGTTGAGTATGTACGTACATAAGGTTCTAGAACCAGTCAGGCACCCGGAGATCATTCAACCCGCATGTCTGAACCAGAAGAGTATTTATACCCAGACTGGGAAAGACCACAGAACAAATTCTGAACCTGAAGAGAAGGGCGCTCGGACCCAAACTCGGACAGGGAAAGTCTTGTTGAATTCTTTCTTTACGGAGATTGACTCCATGGTACGGCAAGGATTAGAAAATGGAAAAATGATTAAGGATGTGATTTAACTTTTATTATAGATATGATGGAACTATAAAAAGGGATAATTACAACTTACTTTATTTGATTGTGATTATGAATAATTCTATAGAATCTACGTTGTGGTACCACTCATCGGTTTCGCTGAGCGCACAATTGTCTTTGTTGTGTGACTGTGCGCAGGTAAAAAACATGACGATGTTGATCCCGGAGGACACTAAGGCGGAAGAGATGGCGGCATGAGTGTGGGAACAATTTCACCTTCATTATCTTTTTTTAAATTAAGTTCGAATAATTTTGGGCCTTGAACCCATGTGTACTATTTTTAAATTCCTTAAGCTTCCGCAACGTTATTTTATTTTCCTACTCCGAAACAATTTGTGATGATCACGTTTTGAATCATTTGAATTATTATTATTGTTACAGTATTAAAATGTTTTCTTCAAATTATGGATGTTACTTTATCAATTTGCTAGCACTTCGGCCTGCTAATCCAAGTGAACCCGGTTACGTGGATCGAGGTGTTACAACTTCGTTAAATAACCACCCACTTTTGAATCAATCTTACGAGCCTCTATTGCTTACTAAAGGTGGTAATTTCTCTTGAGTTCTATCCTTCGAACACTCATTGGTATAATGTTTTTCATGGATTCAGGTATTTAATGTTTTTCATGGTTAGATTGTTCTTTTTTTTCAAAGATTTAAATAACTATTTCGTAGTCATTGAATCAGATCTCCAAGTTTCTTTAAAAATCAGTATCTTATTCTTCCGATTTGTAGTTGATCATACATGTTTGACTTCAAGGAATTGCATCTTAGATGCACTATGTTAGTGATATAGTGCTCGGTTGCCAAATTGTAATGCACCATATAGCACTATTTCACTATTGTATTTATTTCATTTTTTTAAAGTTACCCAAATGAACCAAGATGAATCAATATCATCATTTGTGAGACAAATATGTATTCTTATTTTTCTTTGGTAATGTACTAAATAAATTGTTTAAAATCATTTATGTATATACTTTGTTCATATAGAATATTTTATTGTAATTTTTAGGGACAATTTTGTTTTTGCTCCCTCATCCGGGATTGATAATCACCGTAAGTGTGCGACCTTTGCTTTTGGATTTATATCCCATGAAAACAATGGTTGTTTGTGGCTACGACAAAGATGTTGGACTCTGGTTTTGACAGTCCTAGATCAAGAGTATGCATTCAAATTGGCATTGAATGTTGAGGAGAAACCAATCTCTTACGAAATGTGGAGCTGTTAGTTATTGCATCCGAACCTAAAGTGTTGTTGTCTGCTGATGTTATAGGTTATTTAGAAACTCTCATAACTGGATGTAGGTTGAACTATAAGTGCAGGGAAGATCCAAATTAAAGATGCTTATTCAGAGGGCTGTTGTGTGTAGTTGCTGGAAGCTACTGAACATATATTGTAATGTTTTAATAAGGATATAATAAGGCTGCACAATATAGATTGGGAATAGCACTCTAGTAGTTTCAAAATAAAAGTATTTTATAGGTTGTGCAGATTATAAGTTTTCAATAAGGTTGTTGTAGTTCTGGTTTTGGTTTTTTTTCTTTTCTGATCTATCTTGTTGGGTTTCAGGCCACCCCTACTTGTTATTCATTTACTTCACCTTTAATAAAACTCCTCTTTAGATTACATTAGTTTCTTTTTTGTGGGGAATGTAAGTGTGTTGACGATAAATGAAAACTTTTTCTCTTTCATGTTAATGTTTTGCACAATTTTGCTAGCATGAAGTTGCACTAGTTTTCTAGTTGGTGTGATATTCTCAAAGAAGTTTTCAGATATGAGCATCTTTGGGGTAACATTATCATATACTAAGTTTTTTTAATGCTAGTAACTTATGTTCACATGAAGTTTTAGAGAAGGAAAATGCTAGGGGTACACCAAAGGTGTACCTCATTTGTCCACCACCCCCTCCATAACCACTCAAATAGGCAAGAAAATTAAAAAAATAAGTAAATAAAAATGAAATCCAAATGAGTGATTATGGAGGGAGTGGGGGACAAATGAGGTACACCATGATTATTGCCTTCTAAAATTAGCATAACACCTTATTAAAATTTACTAATACTGTCTTTAATTTATAAAATTCAATACTACAAGTACTGGTGTCTTGCTCAAGTGCAATATTAATACGAAATGAATAAATAATTTTTAAATTTTAGTTTATCATTTTAAAAGTTATACTTGTATGTATAAAAGTATTTGTTTTATACTTATTGGGATTAAGAATGCACAAGAATTGCTGTCAAAGTGCATTCTCAAACGACAGGTGTGAACCCATTGTCGAGGTCGTTTGATCTTTTATTGAAGTGCATTATCAAGCAATGTGCGTGAAGCATTTGTTTCAGGACTGTCGAGATAAAAATGCACAACAATGATAGTCAAAGTGCATTAATTACATATCATTAGAAGAGTATTCAGACTATGCATTTTTTCGACATGAATACTCAACTATGTATGAGCTTCATCGATGTACAAGTTGCATATAAACTATACCTGGTCACACGGAATATCTTAATATCATGGGACTTAACCATGTAGTATACTATTCCTAGAGTCTCAGTTTTCATTATCACTTCATACTCTACAATAACAAATTCTGTAACTCATTTGCTGTGTTTTTCAATTGTCTTTTCCTAATTCAATCACTTTTACAAACTGCAGATGCTACCATTTTATACTTCTTTCCAACTCTAGAGGTTGTTGTGCAATCATTTTGCCTTTTCAATGCATTTGTTCATATCCAACTTGCATTGTATACATATAAAGATGCTGACATTCATCACTCATCATTGTATACATATAATGAATGAAACTCAAGTTCTTCGGGACTCAATTTTATCAATTTGTTTTTATAAGTTCTCCAAAAACTGTATCTATAAAAACACAACTGTTTGGCATGAATGCAAATCAATACATACAAGGATACAGAAAATACTCTTATTAAGTGCTAATGAAATACAAAAGTTGATTCACATCTTTGTTCATCATTTCTAAATCAACATACGATTCATTCAGTGCACTATAAAAATGTAATATAAATACATGAATTACTAGTTTAAACTAAACCCTTGCACTTTATTTGAGTAGATTCTAAGTTTCACTAACTTAAGCCCTTAACCATAAGTAAGTTGTCCAAAAATCAATTTGTAAATGCACAAATATTTATCATGAATGCAAGCCAATACATACAAGGATGCAGATAAATAATCTTAAAATATTTACAGATGTTGCCAAAATAGATTCAAATCCTCGTTCATCAATTTTAAATCAATCTATGATGCATTGAGTCAATTATGAAATGCATTTGAGTAGCCCTTAATTGCATCTTTAGTGACTTTAATCACCGTAAATTTGTTCACTACTGAAACCCTCATCGACACCCTAAAACAAAAACCCTAATTACATTCAACAACAAATGCACAACAATTTGTGAAAATAATGCTTTCATTTTAGTCATGTTTTTTAGTAGGTTTGAATCTCATTTTTAACAATTCATATGCACGCAAAATGATTTCACATCAAAATCAATAAATCTAACATTGAAATGCTTTGTTAGTTGTCTGTTCCAGATTCATTCGCAGATTCGTTGTCATATATTACCCATCCCTTGCAGCTCTCTTAGACAACGTAGTTGTCGTGAAAACCTCTCACATCCCTCTCTTAACTGCATGCACCGAAGCTAGAGAGAGAAGAAGAATTGAATCTAATGCTATAACATTTGAACTTGGTAAGAGTAGAATACGTGAGAAACACCGAGTGTCTAAAAAATTAGGATTTCTTTCCCACTTTCCAATTGATGATTATGACCCTGACAACACGATTAGACCCTATTTTAATACATCTTAATGATTTCTTTCTTTTTTTAGAACTCCATCTGTCAAATGCATTACCAACTTCTCAGCCATTCGATGTGCTAATAATAATAGTAATAAAAATAGTAATATTAATAACAACTATAATAATAATAATACTAATAATAACAATAAAAATAATTATAATAGTAATAATAATAATAACAGTCATAATTAAAATAATAACAATAGTAGCAATAGTAATACTAATAGTAATAATATTAATAGCAATAATGATTATAGTAATAGAAATAATAATAATAATAGTAATAGTAAAAATAATAATATTAATATTGATATTAATAGTAATAATAATAGAAATAATATTAATAATAGTAATATTAATAAAAATAATAGAAATAATAATAATATTAATAGTAATAACAATAGTAATAATAATAGCAATAATAATAATATTATTAATATACATAATAATAAAAATAATAGTAAAAATAATTGTAATAATAATATTAATATTGGTATTAATAGTAATAATAATAGAAATTATAATAATAATAGTAATATAAATAATAATAATAATATAAATAATAATAACAATAGTAAAAATAATAATATTCATATTAATATTTATATTAATAGTTATAATTATGATTATAATCATAATAATAATAGTTATAGTAATAGTAATAGTAATAATAATTATAAATATAATAATATTAAATTTGTATATATTTGATTGAATTTGATCTGGTCTGGTCTCTGGTCTGGTCTGATCTGATTGGATCCGACTTGTTCTGATTAGATCTGATCTGATTTGTTTTTATAAAGAATAAGTAATACGCAGAAAAAAAAAAATTGAACGGAAAGCTGCCTAACTCAAAACTTATGAGTTTGTGTATGACAAAAATATTAGAGAGTTACAAAAAATTTTCTAAAAGTGAAACTTTTTTTAGAACAAATGAAAAAGAAAATGTATAGTAAAATCTTTTGTGGGATGAATGAAATTGAGAATAACTTAACTTATATATTAATGTATGCAAGTGATATTTTAGACAAGTAACATGTCATATTTGCTTAAAATTAACCCATACTTGTACCACAAAGGAGTGTCTTCAAGAAGAAATAGTATATTTTTGGAGTGGAAACATGTTGGCGTAGTGACAAGAAAATCACATCAAGTTGTTATACATCCAGTGTTTGAGCCACATCATTGTGCTTAAAAGATTGATATTATAAAATTGAAGCGATATTACACTGATGAGTTTGAGAAATAAAAAATAGTGCATTGTGAAAATTCGAAAAGAAAGCATCTATTTTACGAAGAGTTTTGTGAAAAATGACATATAAGCTCTAATGGTATGTTTAAAAACTTGAGTTTAGATTTCAAATCTGGGAATGCTTTAAATCCCATGTTTTGGTAATCTTTAAAAATTTGAATGTAAATTTTAAGTAAATTTTTCTAATTCATAACAAAGCCTAATACTGAATCCATATATCTATCCTTGTCATTTGAAATTCAAAAATTCAAATTTTAAAATTGAAATACAAGAATTGAAAAAAAATTACAAAATATTAGTTTTCAAACAATACCTAAATATGTTTTGAATTTTGTAAGAATAGGATTTCGTTAACACTGGCCAACCGGTACATAATAGCCACACATTTTGAGGAGTGCTTAGGGCGGGGGTTGGGGTNGGGGGTGGGGCTAGAGTGAGGGTAGGAACTATTAATTTTACGTATGGAGCACCAGAGGTGCTCCAAAAACATAGTGGCACTATTGGTCATTGTCAACAGAACCGTGCCTATTTTGTAAACCTTGAGGTTGCGTTCCGTTCGTCTGATCTAATCTGATTTTTAGAGTTTTGATTTGATCTGATTAGATCTTATATGTTCTGATCGGATTGGATCTGATCTGATACAAATTCAGTTTAAATTAAAATTACTATTATAATAGTTATAATAATTGTAATAATAATAAAATAAATATTAATAATAGTAGTAATAATAATAAGAAGAAGAAAAATAGTAATATGAATAGTAACAATAATTATAAGAATAATGCTAGTAATAATAATAGAAATAATAATAATAATAATAATAGTAACAACAACAATAATAATCATACTAATAATAGTAATAGTTATAATAAAAATAGTAAAAATAATTATAATCATAACAGTAATTGTAAAATAGTAATAATAGTAATAGTAGTAATAATAATAATATTAATAGTAATAATAATAGTAATAGTAATAATTATAATAATAACAATAGTAGCAATAATTATAGTAGTAATAGTAATAATAATAATAATATTAATAGTAATAGTAATAATTACTCCGTATAATAATAACAATAGTAATAATAATTATAATCATAATAACAGTAATAGTAATATGAATAATATTAATAATACTAATAATAATAATGATAATTATAATAATATTGTTTAGATCTAATCTGGTCTAACCTGATCTAATTGGGTCTGTTTTGGTCTGACCTAGTCTATTAGATGTGATCTAATTTTCATAATAATAAGTAATAACATTTTCCCATTATATTCAAACAAGCCTTGATTATACTATATTAGACACGGAGTAAACTATAAATAGAGTTGGTCACGGCCCCCTATTTCTTCGGTTTCCCCGTCCCATGGCGGAGTCTCTTCACCTGCACCCCCACCCACACTAAAATTTGTCAAAAATAGAAAGAAGATGATGAACAAGATGATGATGATGATGTTTCACGCTTTTGTTTCCTCCTCATCATCTATATAATAATAATCTTCCATTCCTGCCCGCGGTCCATACACTATTATATTGCAGCAGATTATTAATCAATCAAAAGATGACTGCATCATTACTATCATTCAACACTACTCAGCCTCCATTATTCCCGACCACCAAGCTTCTTGTTTCTTCTTCTTCTTCATGTGCTGGGAGCCCTGCATTTCTGGCCGCCGGCCTCTGTTCTCCCCGGGGGGCACGATTCTTCATCAAAATGAACTCTCTGCACCTCTCTTTTCCGGGTTCCCGACCTCCCATCTTCAGAGTTTTCTCTCACTTAACTGTAATTCTTCTTCTTCTTAAATTGTTCTGTCAATTTTATTGTCGTGGGGTTTTTGTTTGAGAGCTAGTGAGGGAGAGTTTGAGTGTACTCTGACAATGGAGGGAAAAGCATTAATGGAAAGTTAGAAATGGTTTGGGGGGTAAAACAGGAACTTTTGGAGTACAAAACATGGTAGAAATACATATACTACCTAGTATTTCATACTTCATCCGTCTCGAAATAGATTTTAATTTTTTTTTCTCTAACTTTTGTGCATTTGTTTGTTTTTATTGATTATTTGATAAAATAAAATATTTTAATCACATATGGTTTTGTATAACTTTTAATGTGTGTTTTTAATATGTATGTAATAATTTTTATTTTTTTTATTGATGTACTAATTTATAAGTAAAATGATTTGAAAAGAAGAGGGGTTTTACCTCGTAACTCCTAATGTGTGATCCAAATTGAGACCGAGGGAGTACATTAGGGGATAAAATATAAGCGGTCTTACTTTTTTTTTTGTATAAATTCCATTTTTAGTTTTATTTAGGTATATTTTTTATGCTGTAAAACATTTTATGGGCTTACAGTAAAAACATTGCGGTTGAGTTGGTTCCTTAATATGTTATCATGTTCAAAGCTTATCATCCGTCATCACCCAAATTTTTAAAAAAACAATTTTCACGTGTAAGACTCGATTATAAATGAATTTGTCCGGCACGAGAGGGCCATATAGAGTATAAAAACCTTCTCACCTTACAACCAATCTTGCGGTTGAGTTGACTCCTTAACACAAATAGTCTCTCACTTTTTACGGGGGTAATGATGCATATTGCTTGACTCTTCTACTTGAGATATAGCTTAAACATTTTTTTTTGTCCATCCCAAAAGAAAGTATCGCTTTCCACGTTTAGAAATATTTTTGTGGCTCATATTATTTCTAACTTCTCTGTACAATTTTTAATTATACAATTTTACTTTTCAATCTCTATGTAAAGTTAAACACAGAATTGTTTTTGAAATAGCTAGTTTCTCTTGTTGTGGGGTATATATAGAATACAAAGTAAATTGCTTGTCGCCGTTTTTGTCATTGAAATTATCGGTGAAGTAACAATGTTAAAGCTTTGAACTAAACCTTAACCTGTCACTATTCATTCATATGAATGATATATGTGATCCATTAGTTTATTGCACAATATACACAATATAATGTTCCATTTGGATTGAAGTGAACAAACAGAAACAATTTGACTTTTTGTTTTTTTGAGAACTAAGGATGTGGAGGTAAGGAGCAAGTGTTCATCCTCAGTGTTGGAGAGAAATGGGCCATTGCCATGTTCGGAATGGAAAACCGTTACCGATATTTGGAAGACGTCCGCAGAAAAGTTTGGAGATTTCGTCGCGTTGGTGGACAATTACCATAATCCTCCAACAAGCCTTACATATAAGCAGGTAGGATGCTCGTACTTTTTCTCCATTTGCTTTTCTTCGTTAGCTACAAGCTTTGTTTTATGATTCCCTTATAATGTATCAGCTTGTTGTAAATGCAAACTGATGAGACATTATGTTTGCTTTTTTGAAAAAAAATTTAGCTTGAGAAGGAGATTTCGAGCTTTGCACAAGGCCTTAAGGTTGTTGGCTTAGAACCTCTTGAGAAGATTGCTCTTTTTGCTGAGAATTCGTGCCGCTGGCTTGTTGCAGATCAAGGTTTTCAAACTCTTTTTGTAATTATATACTTTTGGCTTAATTTTTTTGGCAATTCTTTATCAAATGACATGAAAAGTTTCTTCCCTTTTTGTTACTTTCATTCTTAGCTTTTAGAACTTCTTCAATCCTTTAGGTATAATGACAACTGGAGCGATCAATGTAGTGCGTGGTTCAAGGTCATCAGTGGAAGAGCTTTTGCAAATCTACACCCATTCCGAAAGGTTTTATTTCAGTCCCCCTTCCACAAGGCATGTTCTTCTATGATTCTGTCAACCATGCCATGCAGCCATAATGTTTCTTGTTGTTTTTACCATAGTGTTGCACTTGTTGTGGACAATCCTGAAATGTACGACCGAATTGCAAAAACCTTCAGCGCGTCCGCGAAAACCAGATTTGTGATCTTACTTTGGGGGGAAAAGTCAAGTATCAGAAGTGAAGGGACAATGGATGTGCTCCTTCCTCCAATATATAGTTATGCAGAGATCATCGATTTGGGAAACCAGCAATCTCAAGAAGGTATAGTAAAAACCGATCTTCCCTCGCACAAACTGCAAAAATTTACTACTTTTTTGTAGGATTTTACTGGGTTCGTTGCTGTAAATGTAATTGCAGCAGGGCATAAACAATATGCATATGACCCAATCAACTCAGATGATGTAGCCACACTTGTTTATACTAGTGGAACTAGTGGCAATCCAAAAGGGGTTATGCTTACGCATCGGAATCTCCTTCACCAGGTTTCAAAACCCACCTTCCCCTTTTAACCACCACTGCCTGAAAGGCTGAAACTAAATTACTGTGTGTTCAATAATTTTCGCAGGTTAAGAATTTTCCGGAATTTGTACCGGTTGTACCTGGAGACAGATTCCTGAGCGTACTTCCTCCATGGCATGCCTATGAACGTGCATGTGAATATTCATCTCTTGCAACAGGGTGCCAGCAAGTCTACACCAGTGTCAAACACTTGAAGGTATTGTATCATTTCTTATTTCTTGAATTGATTCCTACTGTGATTCTACCAAACTTCCAAATCATAGAACATGCCATTGCATTTGTGAGTGTCTTTCAGATGTTAAATGGAGACTAATATATATGCTTCTGGTTTGGTTTATTACTTATATTTCAGGGGGATTTGGAACGGTATCAGCCAAGTTATCTAATATCAGTTCCTTTGATATATGAGACCTTATACAGGTAGATTCATATGGTCTCCACATTCTACATTCATTAGTTTCTGTCAAATGACAGAAGACAGAATTGAACTTCTGAATATTATTATCTGACAGAGATTTACATAGTATCTATAATGGTCTCATGCTAATATTCCACAGTTTCTCTAAGTGACATTGAGTTGTCTTTATTTTATTTCACCTTGCAGTGCGATTATGAAACAGATTAATACAAGTGGTAGTTATCGTAAGCTCATCGCATTGACATTTCTAAAGATCACTTATGCCTACAAAGAGCTCGAAAGGATCTATGAGGTATAATAACATCAACATTTTGGTTCTTTTCGGAAAAAAATACAGAGTACTTTTTTTAAGTTTACCCAACACTAGAAGATGTCGATTTTTTTAATTTGTGAAAATATTCTGTGGAAATTCATTTTCCTTAATAACAATTCCTCTATATGTTTAAAAATATTTCTTTATCTTTTTTCTCTATATGCTTTAATTTATTGCCTTTATTTCAGGGGAAATGCCTAACACAAGATCAGAAACCGCCTTCTTATCTTGTGTCGGCATTAGACTGGTTATGTGCCAGATCCGTTGCCGCTCTATTGTGGCCATTGCATATCTTGGCAAAGAAATTACTCTACACTAAAATTTGCTCAAAGATTGGTATATCTAAGGTAAAGGTATAATGTGCATACATTTAACAGCCCATGATATGTTTCCTAAAAAAAGGCCATGATATGCCGATTCCAGTGAGTGAAAAATGACAATAATAATCCCACTCAATTTTTTTGCATATTTGACAGTTTTTTTTGGAGTCTACACACTTATATTATCATAAAGCTGATTTCTTCTTTTTCCCAATGTGGCACTTTTAACGTTTTCAATTTTATTGTCTTTGCAGGCTGGAGTAAGTGGGGGAGGTAGTCTTCCTATGCATATTGACAAGTTCTTTGAGGTTTGGTGCTTTTGTCTTTTTGGGAATTTCATTTCATGGTGTGAATGTACATATGAGATGCAAAATGGTGATTTGTATGATGGTGCAGGCAATTGGCATTACTGTACAAAATGGGTACGGTTTAACAGAAACCTCTCCTGTTCTTGCTTGCCGATGGCAAAATTCCAATGTATGAGAGAATTGTTGGCATGATCAATTCTTAACTTCCTCAAAATCATTTTCAGTAGAGATCACTTTTCAAGAAATACATTTGAAACTCGAAAGATACAATTTTCAGGTCATTGGCTCAATTGGATATCCCATTCCATACACGGATATAAAAATTGTAGATGTTGAAACAGATGAGGTCCTACCGCACGGTTGTAAAGGCATTGTCAAAGCAAAGGGACCGCAGGTGATGAAGGGCTATTACAAGGTTAGTCCAATCCAACGTTTGAGCGGAGTTTTTGAAATTTTATGTTTTCTTGAGCTGAGTTTCTAAACATTCTTTACTGATTCCAAACATTTCTTTGGTGTTCAGAATCCAATTGCTACAAAGCAAGCTATTGATGAGAATGGATGGCTAAATACCGGTGATCTTGGTTGGATTGTTCCTCACCATTCTATAGGGAGGTCTCGCAATGCTTCGGGTGTTATTGTCCTAGAAGGCCGTGTCAAGGACACTATAGTGCTTGTATCAGGTCATTGTTAAGTTCTCACTCAGTGCAGAGGCTTTGTAGTCAGTTCCACAAAGTTTATGAAAAGTGACTGATTTATACTTGCAAGAAACAGGTGAGAATGTTGAACCGTCTGAGATTGAAGAAGCTGCAATGTGTAGCAGTTTGATTCAGCAGATTGTTGTCATTGGCCAGGTATGCAATCTACTCAGTCTATATTATAAGATTGAGTAAATTTACCTAAAATTGAGATGTAAATAACAAAGAGAGACATGAATGTGCAATTAAAATGGATGGTAAAACATGTCACAAGTTTATTCTAATCAATACAAGTATAATTTACCGCAAAAGTGTCATGTTTTTTTGGACCCGTTGGACTCCTAGGCATTTTTTTTGTTCACTTTGCACACCCACAGGGCCGAGGCCGCCACTTGTTCATGTGAATGCATTAACTATTAACTTTGCACCTGTTCTCCTGTAACATTTAGGACAAACGGCGCATTGGTGCCATTGTTGTACCAAATAAGGAGGAGGTTCTTTCAGCAGCAAAAAAGCTGTCTATTGTTGATTCTGATGCCACCGAAGTCGGCAAGGAAAAAACTGCTAGCCTATTACATGAAGAACTCAGAAAATGGTGATGTACTATTTGCCATTTACACTATGTTTGGTTGAAGGAATTTGGAAGGAAAAGAAAAGAAAATGATTTCCTTGAACCAAACACAGTGTTAGTAGCCACAAGCAAAATGCTCAACATAATCTGGTTTTCTACGGTTTTCCTGCAGGACGACGGGTTGCACATTTTAAATCGGGCCTCTCCTTGTCATCAATGAGCCTTTTACAGTAACCATTTTTCGCGAACTGAGTCATGCTTTCATGCTTTTCCCGATTCAATGAAGTTTCAATTTCTTTGACATTTTGGTTTGGTGCTGTGCAGGTTGAGAATGGTCTGTTGACTCCAACAATGAAAGTTAAGAGAGACAAAGTAGCATACCTTTACAGAGAGCAAATAGACAATCTATACAAATGACTTCACTTCCCAAATGGGAGTTTTTGTAAATCAATTAATGTACTAAGTATTTAATAAATAATAATAAAACAAATGCTTTGCTGCTCATGGCACCAGCTGGTTTCCTCTTGATTTTCATCACTTAATTATAAAATACTACTTTTGCCCTGCTTCTAATACTACAATCAATTTTAAAATTTTGTCCCCACTCAGAAATAATATAAACTATGGCCTGAAATGGTAGCGGTAGTTGAATAGGAGGATCACTATGACTATAGCTCGGGACCAAAGATTTAATCTCAGACACAGGATGCTACCCTATTAGGACAGTAATTCATTTGCAAGAGCAGAATACTTTTAAAAACAGAGTATTTGTAGCCATTACATTACAAGGGTTATTCGATATTGCAGGCAATGCCCCATTATGCCATCCCATTATTTCACATACAATTGTTACAAGTGTAACTCAACAAGCAGGCGAAGCCAATAAATATACCATAGCCGAAAAGGCAAGCCTTCATTATTCTTGGCATTATTAGTTCTATATATGGTACCTGCTTTTAAACCCAGATATCAGACGTGCAGTCACCCCCAGGATACCTCATTTCATGAGCCAAGGCTGGACCATCGGGTTCAGTTCCAAAGTCCACAAAGAAGTTTGGGTTGACGGAAAGACCCCCTTTATCACTATCCACGTCAATCTGTATAATGTGGGACCCTTTCTCCACAAGGTCTGGATAGAATTGTTTGTCCCAGGTACTGTAGAGGGAGTTTGTTGCGTAGAGCCTCTTCCCATCTAGACTCAACTGTATCATCTGCGGCCCTCCTCTCAGCTTGTTTCCCTGGGAATTGGGCAACCTCAAATAATAATAATCACATTGAAGGCTATGTATGCCAGTGAAGAATTTTCCTAGAATAAATGTCTAAGTACCTGAATATCTGGGACATCGACCTGGAATGTTGTGCCATCTTTGGCTTCTGCAAGTACAGAGCTTCCTTTTCGTATCAATCCACCCACCCAGACTTGCCCTGCCAGCTTTGGGTTTGCTGGGTCTTCGATGTTATACTGCCTAATGTCACCATGCAGCCAATTGGCCAAGTATAGGAAGCGGTCATCCAGTGAGATCAGAAAATCAGTAATGAGTCCGGGCATTTCGGGAAGAATCCAGTTTTTCACCTTCAATGGTTTCACTGACACTGCTACCTGCAGTGAGTGGTTATAATTCGAGCACCAGTCAAACACACATTGGCATGCTTCATGATTTTTTTTGGCAGAAAATAGTGCGATGGTTGGATTTTCAGTTTACCTCATGGCTCCACGAATCATCTGGATTCTTGAAAAAACGCACCATGTTACTTGTTAATGCACACCCCACAAACCCTGTCGCTTCAGATGGATCATGCAGGAATCGTATCTGCCACATATTCAATACAAAAGTTACAATATAAATATATATTTTTTTTAAAAAAATGCTGATTACAGTTACATGGAAAGGAAAATAGTTGAAAAAGAAGGAATCCTATCTTGCCTCTAAGGGTAGAAGCCCTGTATCTCCAAGATCCAGCGTCTGTTTCAATTCACCACCAGGCCAGCTATAGACATGCAAATGGCGACCATAGAGCCCATCAGAAACATGCTGAAGATCGAAGCCTTTAGTGAAGGCCTTGGGAGCTCCCCAAGATGAGCTTATCATTGTCTTGTGCCGAGGCTGGTACCAAAAATCATACCCATACAGTGGACTGTGCCCTGGCTTTTCCCACCTATCACACATTTACAAAAATTCAAATATATTCCGCACATAAGAGGGGGATAATGAAATCTGAACTACACAAAATGATTAATTATAAAAAAAATAACAATTTTAGAACGAAAGGAAAGAAAAAATGTGTTTCTTTTAACAACACACGGACTACCTTCCCTTCACGTTGAAATCCGAATCAAGTAGAAGAAAACCATTCCCATCAGCATTTCCATCTTTATCACCCAGGCATGACAACATAATATCACCAGAGGCAAGGCAGTGAGCAGTGTGTGGATAGGCCAACCCAGTCTTCTTTATTATCTCATCTGGCTCAACAACTTTATGCAGACTGGGAGCTCTTGGATCCTTAATCGTGTCAATTGCATATATGCGCCCAGATCTGAATTACATTAAAAGGTTCTCAAATGCAAACTCCTTGTTCAAATTCTGAGTATTTGGTAGTAAAGATAAAAGAAGCTGTTCAAACACTCCCTCCATCCGCATTTAGTTATCCACTTCCAATATCCAATAGAAAATGTCTAAAATATCCTAGAGATGAGGCATGAGTATTCTTGACATGATCACATTAATGGATACTTACATTAGTGAGGGCAGGACAAGATATCGACGAGAAGCAGATGGGTCACCAAAGCAAGAACTGCAAGAATTCCATCCTGAATGATGTAGTTCATCGCCTAAATAAGGCATTGGTAGCCTGTGGATTACTTTAGAATATGTTGGTGAACTAGGATCAACATCAACAGTAGCCAGGTAGTCGGGTTTCTCCCTTCCTGTTCCTGTAAAAATGAACCAACACAACTTTTCTAATTCATGTAATTTTATTCTCCAAATATGAGAACTAGATAACTGATTCGAGACACCCCAAAATTAAAATATGAACAGCTAAATATGGAAAGAGAGAGTAGATAATAAATACTTCTTCCCCGTCTAGGTTTAGTTGTCAACTTTTTTTGTTAAAGAGAACCGGGACGGAGGGAGTATTTATGACCAGTTGTGCTGCAGAACCAGGGGAATTTAACAGCACATGAAATGATTCACCGTAAACACTTTTAAGCTTGGTTTGGTAAGTAGGAGAAAATTAAAATAGAATCTTAGTTTCCTTTTTAATGCGTCTAAACAATTGAAACCATTTATATCATGTGTCCCTGGTCACTTCAACCTTGTTTGAGACTAAAAAGTTTGGAACATGACAAATTTTCAGGGACTAGGGGAAGTTGTTAAATGTGTTTCCTGTAGTTAAATTATTGGAGTATCGTCTGCACTGAATCACCCGTAATGATTCTCAGATTCGTTTCACTCCATGAAACCATCTATTTCATTTACCAACAAGGCAACAGAGTGAAAGACATGGGAGTGAGTGTTTTTTTATACCCATGACACCGAATGTGACACCACCTACCGCTTCAGTCACAGGAAAACAACTACCTATGCATGAATGTCTGTGTCTGGGCATGGTGTCAAAGTAGACTTTCTCATTTTATATCACACAATGAGCGAAATCCCGCTTGGCATGGAGAACATTTCAAGATAAAAAGCAGTAATTGACTGTGGGTACATTGGTAAGCCTATTGCAACATGAATTTTGGTGTTGAGTATTTCACTCCATGGAGGGGGAAACATCACTTTGCTTGTGTTTTGAGATGTGTGATCTATTACTCCCTCCCTCCTAATTTACCTTACCCGTATTACTTTTAGGCCATTCTAATTTATCTCGCTATTAGAATATAAACACATTTTTTGGCCATACAAACACAAGCTTGAGCTTTTGGTTGAAGTATCGAAGCATTAATGACTAAATAGGTCATGATGAGATTAAACCTTCCCATCATCCATTTATGTCTACTCTATCCAAATCTCAAGTTCTCAACCACACACATTTTACTTTTGCGAGATGAATTGGGACGAAGGGAGCATTAAGTATGGACCATACTAGCTGTATTGTGCCATTGCACAAAGGGTAGTCCAAGCTTGCCTCTTCCCACGCTTCACAAAGACACTTACACAAACAATTTATAGCATTTTTTTCTTAGGAGAAAAGGGGAAAAGAAATTGAAGGGGGCATTGATTGACCTGAATAGACGGAGGTGACATAAATGAGGGACTCCCTAGGTCCTTTCATGGCTTCCTTAGGGCTGGCATACCCCGGCCCCTTCTTGCAGCACCCACCGGCGCCGCCCACTCTGGCGCACTCCGCCGCCGCAGCATCCGTAGCCATCTCACTTTTCCGCCGGAGATATTATTGAGCAAGAAGTCAAGAAGAGATGGAAGTCTGAGGCAGTATTTGCATATTTTTTATTTTAACCGAGCTGGATTTTATAAGAGCCGCTTTTTTTGACGGCGTATTGCTGTTAAAAAAAATGAGGGAGTAGTAAATGTTTGCACCGGATTTACCGGTTACATTTCGGCTGCATTTTCCCAATTACCGAGTGCTATTCATGTTTCGTCCGTATCTGGACGTGCTGTTGTTGTTTATACGGTGGCGGTATTCTTTCGTCCACGAGAGATGAATCTGGTCGGGCATTCTCTTGCCTATCCAGACTTATTCTTATTAAATTCATATTACAAATAATATTAAATATAATTACTATCAAATTAAAATTTATTTCAATTAAATCAAAATGAATTTATCTTGATATTCACTTTGTTCCAAAATAATTTATTTATTTTTTTACTATTATGATCTTTCAATATCTTTTGTTTGTTTGTATGTTTTCTTTGATCACATAATAAAATAAAATATTCTTAACACCTTTAATTTTGTAGAACTTTTGATGTAATTTTTAAATTATAATTTTTATTTTTTATTTCAATACTAATTTGTAAATAAAATCAATTTAAAACTCATGTAATAGTACATTGATCCATAGAGATAATTCATTTTGGGATAGGGGGAACATATACAATTATGGTATGTATGCGCCCTTGTTAAAAGAAAAAAAGTTCAACCCAATGTTCATAAACTTCTTTTTTTATGCAAAAAATGTTTTTATGTGAGAAAATTCATAAAAAATGATATGAACTTAGGAACACCAAAGAAGCATTGTACAAATAGTTTTAGATGCACCGACCTTCATATCAAGATAAATTCATTTTGATTTAATTGAAATAAATTTTAATTTGATAGTAAAGCAAAAATTTATTACTCTGATAAGCATTTTTGTTATATAAAAATTGCATCTACGCGACAAAATCCCCAAAAAAATGTGAATTTTAAACCTACCAAAGAAGCATTCTATAAATAGCTATTACATTATAATAGAGTTATTCGTGTTCAAAAAAATAAGTAAAATTTGCACTAAATAGGATTAAAACATAACAACTTTCCCAATGTAGGACTTGAACTTTTTTATTCCCTAAATAGGACTTAATAATGACCTAGTGGAAGAATAATGTCCTGTAATGATGGACATTTACTTGAATAATGACTACTTCATAATGACCAAAATTCCTACATTGGAAAATAAATATATATGGTCCTATATTGGAAAAGTTATTATGTTTTAGTCCTATTTAGGTAAATTTCTCAAAAAATAAAGATATTAGAAAAAGATTATTTGTATTTGAAAAAAAAGTCAAAATATAAATAATTAAGGATAGAAGATCGTTTCCTTGACATTGCTTGGTGACGTCATAGAATGATCGGGGGCCTACGATGTTCTGTTCAAAAAATTGATGATTCATAATTTCATACTCCTAATCCCTCAGTAAAATCTCCAATTCAGTCTGATCCGAATCCACTCCACTCTCTTCAATTGCACCCCCAAATTTTGTTGAGTTTAGATTCAAATTTGGGGGTGCAATTCAAGAGGATGGAGAGTGGTCAAGCCAGGTGGGAGATTTACCGAGGATTAGAGGGGTAGAAACCGTTATGGGTTTGAATGGAGCATCGTAGGGCTCTCGAATCATTCTAAGACATTGGTCAATGTCATATGGTCCAAGTCAAAATTTATACTCCCTCCGTCCGGTAAAAAGCTTCCTACTTTGACTTTTCCTCATTTTTAGTGGAGGGTTGAATAAGGTATGAAATGACTAAATTACCCTTAATGAAGGAAAAAAAAGAAAGAACAGAAATAAGGGGCCGAACACATTGAAAGCAAGCAAAGTACACCAACTACACTATTTCAATCATTATCATACATCAAATCCATGATTACATAACAAAATTTAGGCATTCCCTCTAAAATTTTTTGGAATGCCGCCCAATACTTCCTCCAAATACATCAATTTTGAATCCATTTGCAGGCTATTTAACCCCCTCCCCAAGATTATTACAGTAACACCCAGCACTACTCCCCTTTCTTCTCCATCTTTGTCTTCATAATCTTTTCAACAATCCTTTCACATTCAGCTTTATTCCTCTTCCTTTTTTCATCCCGATGTCCAGGCGGCCTGCATATAACACCAAAAAATTAGACAATGTAACACGACAGGTTATAAGCGAGGCGTTACTTTCACATTCAAACGAAAACCCCGATGGTTCTTACTCAGCTCAGTATGGACAGATCAAGAACCTTGCAGCACAATTTAAAGTGTCTACAAGAACAGTCAGTAGCATATGGGCCATTGCAAAGAAACAATTAGAGCTGGGCATTGCCATTGATGTCAGAAATAGAATGGCAGGAAAAAGTGGCAGAAAAAGGGCTGTCATGGATGTAAAGGCTATAACAGACACTCCCCTGAGGCGGA